GGTTAGATAAATCACTCCCATGCTCGTCAGAACAGTTAGATCCCCTACCCTTGCTCGTCAGGAACAGGTTAGTTCCCCTATTATAAGGAACAATTCACCTGACTCTTTCACTTTTGTGTTTATATCAGGTTTACAATGGCGATATCTCGGGCATGCCAATGTTCATGGTGTTAGCATGGATCTACTCAGTGGCCATGATCGTGAAGGGATTGTGTAATGCGAGAAGGAGCGTCGTCTGAAGGAGGTGATGAAGATGATGGGGCTGGGTAGCGGGGTCCACTGGCTGGCCTGGTTCATCAACGCGGCACTGTCATGATGATCATCACTGTCGTCATGCTTGTGGCAGTGCTCAAGGGTAGGTGCTTGTTGGGTGCACAAAGTGCTTATCCTGGTGCTGAAGGTATACTTGAAATCATTTCATATGAATAAAAATGTCAACAGTAATAACTCACTGACTTCTTATTTAATCAGTGACACAAAACTAATACTTATCAGTGACATTGGTCAATGCAACAATGGAACACAAGCCCTGCCTGCTCTATTATCAGGCAATCAGAAAACAGCATATTTGGCTTGTGGTGGTAAGGCTAAATTAATAGATTGGTTGGCCAATCAAGTTCCCCAATCAGGTATATTTTAGAATACTTGAAACAATTTATTTCTAGTTCTGCTGAGGGGTTTGGAAACATTGGCCATAATACATCACACAATTGTCATATTTCAGCCCATTTTTATGTTTATTTTTTGGAGGCGGTAAAATCATGGAGCACTTTCGGACCCATCTGTTATCTTTGTGTTCTTGTTGGCGTTCACGCTGGCAACCATCATGCAGTGTTTCCTGATCAGCGTGTTCTTCTCCCGAGCCAACCTGGCGGCAGTGTGTGGGGGCTTCTTGTACTTCCTCTTGTACATGCCGTACACCCAGGTGGTGCAGTGGGAGGAATACATCAGCACCTCCATCAAGCTGGCCTCTGTGAGTACCACTCACCTCGCTCACACAACCACTCATTGTGCTACTCTCTCAACCACTCATATGACGTCTCAACCACTAGCTTAACCACTCACCCACTCTCTCAACCATTCACTTACCCCTCACTGATTCACTGGATTGTCTGGACCAGATTATTTACAGACTACAGTGTTTTGGCTGAAACATTGCTGAGTGCTGTATTAAGTAACAGAAACATACTCACTGGTATGAAGCCTGTTTCCTGTTTTCGAGGTCCAACTACTTTTGTGTTATATGTGTTCCTGTAGTTCCATTGTTGATGGGGCAGTGGGATAGCCTAATGGTTAAAGCGTTGGTTCGTTACGCTGAAGACCCGGGTTCGAATCCCCACATGGGCACAATGTGTGAAGCCCATTTCTGGTGTCCCCCGCTGTGATGTTGCTGGAATATTGCTAAAAGCGGCGTAAAACCAAACTCAGTCAGTCAGTCCATTGTTGATTTGGCCTTGAAAAGCCCCTAGAAAGGCCATAAATGTAGTGGCTGATAATCTGTACCAACCCTGGTGATTTTGTTGATTATTGTTGAAGTCCCGATGCTTCCCTACTTGCAGTGCCTGTCATCAAGTGTAAGCGTTTGGATTTGGCTGCAGCTATATATCTCGCTATGAAGAACAGATGACTGGTCTACAGTGGAGCAACATCGCTGACAGCCCATCCCCGACGATGACTTCAGCATGGTATTGGTGTATCCTAATGATGTTGGCTGATGCTTTCATCTATGGCCTCTTCACCTGGTACATTGAAGCTGTCTTTCCAGGTATGTTCGCCATGTCTATTTTGTCAAAGGTCAAATAGTCCAGAATTCTGAGGTGATGGAGGTTATCTATTTTACCCTTAGTTTTGTAACTAAGAAACTGGAAAAACGATGTAGGTTTGCTACCTTGGTCCACAATGGCTGAAGCTTTTCTTGGTAGGTTTCCTGTAGGGATTCTGGTTCAGAATAGGTCCATGGTTGCTGAAGCTTTTTCTTTAGAGGGTGCATATTGGGTATTTAGGTCAAGAATCAATCAACAGTTGCTGAAGCATTTTTGGGCAAGAATAGGTGCAGAGTTGCTGAAGCCTTTCTCTAGGGGTACACATTGGGTATTTAGGGCAAGAATAGATCCAGAAGAGCACCCTGTTATGATTCTTTGTGAAAACAGGTCCCACAGAATAGAACCCAGGATTTCAGCATGGTATTTCAACCACAATGCTATTCGTCACCTCTAAATTATTAGATATATATATTTTCACAATTTGAACATTCCTGTCATTTTCAGGCCAGTATGGAATCCCTCGCAAATGGTACTTCCCCATCCAGAAAACCTACTGGTGTGGACAGCGTTACCAAGGAGACTCAAACTTCATGGGCAACCCTGAAGCAGCCAACATGGAAATGAACTGTGAGTAATATTGATGAGCTAGATGTCTCTGAAATATTGAACCAACTATGCCTTGTTTTGTAACATATAACATCTTCGTTGGTGTCAATTTGTTTTGCCTATGTAATTGTGAGTTAGAGGTGAATGACAGAATCTGTTGCAGGTGACAAGGAGAATCTAGAGGCAGTGCCCCTAACAGTAAAGTGGGTGTGTCCATACACAACCTTACTAAGGTGTACAAGACTGGGAAAAAACTGGCAGTAGATGGGTTGTCGCTCAACTTCTATGAGGGTCAGATAACATCTTTCCTTGGACACAACGGTGCAGGAAAAACTACAACCATGTAAGTAGGCCAGTGGTTTTTCAAATTTTGTGCTGTCATTACTCAAATCCTTGAACACAACCAGGTACGTAGACCGGGGCCTTATCCAAGAGGCATTACTTGGCACTGTCAATACTTAAATCCTTGAACACAACCATGTAAGTAGGCCAAGGCTTCGTCCAAGAGGCATTACTTGGCACTGTTATTACTTAAATCCTTGAACACAACCATGTAATTAGGCCAAGGCTTCGTCCAAGAGGCTTTACTTGGCACTATTATTACTTTAATCCTTGAACACAACCATGCAATTAGGCCAAGGCTTTGTCCAAGAGGCATTACTTGGCACTGTTATTACTTAGGTCCTTGAACACAACCATGTAATTAGGCCAAGGCTCGTCCAAGAGGCATTTTTAAGCATTGTCGTTACTCACACAACCATTGGAGAGTTGTAGTCAGTTCTTAGGCCATAGACCCACGAGGATTCGGTTAACAATTGATCTTCAGTTACCCATGCTTGTCATAAGAGGCAACTAACAGGATCGGAGTTATCAGGCTCGCTGACTTGGGTGACACATGTCATCACATCCCAATTGCATAGATCTATGCTCATGCTTTTGATCACTGGATTGTCTGGTCCAGACTAGATTATTTACAGACCGCCGCCATACAGCTGGAATATTGCTGAGTGCGGAGTAAAGCTAAACTCACTCACTCTAAAGCCATAGACATGGACCTGTATCCCTTGTGAGCTGAATATTTGCACTAGTGGCTGTAGTACTCGTAAAAATAAGAACCTTTGTTTTGTCTTGTGATGAAATGCTGATTTACATGCCATATGGCTAAAGCTGAATATACCGTCAGTGTTGACAATGTGCTGCATGTTGTTTCCCAGGTCCATCCTGACAGGCCTGTTCCCTCCTACAAGTGGCACAGCGTATATCAACGGAAAGGACATTCGCTCCCAGATGGATGATATCAGGAGCAGTCTGGGAATGTGTCCACAGCATAATGTTCTCTTCGACCTGTAAGTATCTTCTTCTGTACTTATATAGGACATGAATGTATGTGACCCTTTCTTTTATGGTGATGCAATCTGATGTCCAGTGTTGTACCCCTTAGATGAAGAAGAATCTTTTGATCATGTATGTATTCAGATGTATTCTGATTCTGATTCTTGTCATGTTTGTGTGATTGTAACATTAGTGGTAAAAGTCCATGGCCTATATCACTTTCCGCTGTGAGAGTCAGCACATTATGTGACCAAACTAGGCTGAGGGTTGTGTTTGATAACTGGCTACCTCGCCCACTCACTCGCTCACTCACCATTTAGTCACTCACTCACCATGACTGCTATGTCGAATCAATTACATCCCTGGACCACGGTCTCACTATGATGGTATCGAGTAAGAAATGCTTCCTTGAATGCATTTTATTCTCAACAATCATTGGTCAGAGCACCTATTTGTATCCATCTACTGGAGGCAGACTGGGACTTGATTCTTTGGGTCAAACTATCACTAAACCTCATAGCATATTCCCGGGTAATGGAGGTACTGTATACAAACCCCTCAGCAAAGGTGACATGGCAGGTTTTCTGAAAGCGATTTGCCATTAGTTAACCATAGGCATAAACTAAAGACTGTTAACTGTCATTGTGTTCAGCCTAACAGTAGAGGAGCACATCTGGTTCTATGCCCGACTCAAGGGAAGGACCAATGCAGAGGTGAAGCAAGAACTGCCTCAGATGGTCAAAGATGTCGGACTGCCCAACAAGATCAAAGAAATCTCCAAGAACCTGTCAGGTCAGTTGTACATCTTTAGAGGGTGTGGAGACTGTGTGGTGGTGGCAGATGTCTGTTTGGTTAGTGGATTGAATCGCATGTTACAGAAAAAGGTTGTTTGAACTAACAAAAATTGAAAGCATTCTAGTTTTCATTGTAAGCCCATGTTGTATAGTATATTTATTAACTAGACATTTTTTTTAAGGCTATGTAACTTGCTGTTTCTATCAGAATCCTCATTGGCAATTTGGTCATATATCAGCTCTTGTCTCACTTCAGACGGATTAGTTGGTAAGTCGCTATGTATTTAATAGTTCCAAAGATTTCCATTGAATAAGCCACCTCACTGAATATCCTGGCTTGTGTTTATGGTTGGTCTCTGTGTGTGTTACAGGGGGTATGAAGCGGAAGTTGTCAGTGGCTATTGCATTTGTGGGTGGATCTCGCACGGTCATCTTGGATGAACCTACAGCTGGTGTTGACCCATACGCTCGCAGAGCCATCTGGGATCTGCTCGTCAAACTGAGAACAAGTAAGCAAACACTTTACCTCTGGTTGACATTAAACCTGATTATCACTGGTGTATGGGGTGTGGTGTTATGGACTCTAATGGTTTTACAAAGAAGAAGAAGTTACCATGACATATCACAAAATTAGTTTGTGCTGAGAAAATGTTCATTGCAAAGTAATAAAATATATAGCGCAGTGTTTACTGCAATGTTTGTAGGAATGATGAACAATAAGAGTCACTGTGATACAGCCGGTTGCCCAGTGCATATCAGGTTGACATTCACATGCTTAAAGTGGCATTAATGCAGGAAGATAAGTTTAAAACCAAAACACTTTCATGACAAGTACAAATTTCCTCCAACTAATTTACAAAGAGTTTTAGTTCTTTAATTACATCTGAAGCCCAAACAAACAAATAGCTTGTTAAAGTGTAACCTTGTGTTGATCTTCCAGACCGCATTCCATCATAATGTCCACCCACCACATGGATGAAGCCGACATCCTTGGGGACCGCATCGCCATCATCTCACATGGCCGACTCTGCTGTTGTGGCTCTAGCCTCTTCCTTAAGAACCGCTTCGGCAGTGGCTACTACTTGACCCTTGTCCGCCAGGATGACCAGGAGCAGAAAGAGGTTGAAGCCATGGACGTAATCAAACCTAAACCCAGCAGGCCATCCACTGCCGGCAGCATCCGCTCCACCATTGATGTTGTGGTGAGTTACCTGGGATCCTTGGTAATGGATTCCAATGACTTTACGTAAAGATTGTTTCTGTTTTCTGAAGTGAATAATCATTTCTTAGTTTTGTTAACAGTTGTTAGTTTTGTTAAGATTGTTTCTGTTTCTTTAGTGAATAATCGTTTCTTAATTTGTTAACATTTAAGATAGAAAATTATCTTTACAACATGATGTAAAATTAAATATCTCAGCTCTGTATTTAAGTTCTGAATCCTTATGAAACCTCGCTAGAGCTGCATCATCAACAAATTTAATCTTAAGATAAACTAGGATTGCCTCCTGGGCAATACTGGCGGTCTTCAGACCTCCCCATACACCCCCCGTGGCTACCTTTACTTGTACCGTTTCTTTGGACGCCAGCTGGACAGTCGATTTTAACTCTCGGGGTTACGGGTGTTTGAAGTGTTTTGAAGTGTATTCCTGGCAATTCCAGGACACTAATTGTTTTGACTGTAGACCTAAGAACAACGGAGTTGCGGCCTGTTAAAGGGGGAACTATTTCTGTAGGCACTGAAAAACCACGAAGCGGCGACTGTGGCTAGATTTTACTGGCGCTTCCTGTGATATGAGATAACTGGCTGAAGGAAGCGACAGTAAAATCTAGCAACGCTCGCCGCTTCCTTCACTTAGTTATCTCACAACTGAAAAAATGCGAAATCCTCATGTCCCGCCCTGTCTGGGCGTAATTGTGGCGTAACTATTGACTTTTACATAATAATAATGTGAAGCAAAATTGTTCTACATTTCATTGTCTACAGTTTGGTACCTTCAAAAAGGACATCCATTGTGTTTTCGCAGAGCTGTGAACCCTATAAAAATGCGTTTCGCCAAAAATTGACCAACTTCCAAGGGCAATAACTCCGACACTATTCAAGATATCGACATGCATTGAACAACCTAAGTAGTCCGGAGTGTGGGCTTTAAAACGATATATAGAACACTATTGTACTATTTGCCGTTCAGGAGCAGCAGATTGTTAAACACAGGCACCGTAAAAAAAGTGCGGAAATGTGCAAAATCGCGAAGGCTGTGTTTGTGTCGTAATGGTGACGTTATTATTGATTTTTTCATAACCATGATGTGAAGCAAAGATGTTTCCCATCCAATTACCTAGAGGATGGTACTTAGAAAAATGGAATACATCGATTTTTCGCGCAGAGTTGTGACCTTTTTCTTAACCCTATGAAAATGCGTCTTAGAAAAATCACCAACTTCCAAGGGCGATCACTCCAAAACCATTCAAGATATCGACATGCCTTGAGCAAACTAAGTAGTCCAGAGTATGGGCTTTCCAACAGCGTATCGAACACGATTGTACTATATGCCGTTCTGGAGAAGAAGATTTTGAAAGACAGGCACCGTCAAATCATGAAAATCGGCAAAAAAATCAGTTTTTTCAAAATAGCGGAAAATTTGACCTGCCGGCCAACTTCCGGTATGTGTTGAATCGACAGGGAATGATGTTGTCTACATTGAGTGAAAATTTGGTCAATCTACCTCTTATAGTTTTTGAGTTATTCAGGTGCAAAGATTTCGACATTTTGGGTTCTCTGCCTTTACCGGAAGCCGGAAGTAGGGATTTTTTCGACTATGTATCAATTTCAGCATACAGGCTATCATCCCTGAAACTTTCATGAAAATCGACCCAGCGGTTAGGTCAGGAGAGCTGTCACAAAAAACGTACAAATAATAATAAGAATAAGAAGAATAATAATTCGGATATCGGATGGTTTCCTGATGAGCGAGTGAGTTTAATTGTAATTTTGAAAAGTCAGCAGCAGTGTTTTGAGTAATGATATTTTAGGCAATTGTTTCATTGACAGGGAACTCTATAGAGGATATTGTTTGAGTGCCCATGTCATACTATGTTTACGACACGAGTGCCTAAATGTTCGTATTTCCCGAGCGAGAGCAAGGGATATACCGATCTTTAGACGCAAGTATGAAAAATATGAACCCCGATATTTTTGCCCTCGTAGGTAATAAAATCTTTTATCATTACATATCAGCCAACATTTGAGATGGATGATGAAGGTTACTCTGAGCGACCAGACAGTGACAAGACCAGCAGTACAAACAGCAGTGACCCACCTACACCACCACCAGAGGGAGCCACTATGATGCGAGGCAAGTCTTTAGTGGATCACATGTACAGAAACACAGGGCGGTTCCTGTAACAGTTTGTCTCATATAGGAATAAACAGGAAACCTTCCTTTAGCTTGAGTTTATGTATGTCATGTGACCATCACAGTTTGGATGAACAAATCTTTACATTATTTTAACCAAATTTCATCAGTGTGAAAATGTTATGAATATTGACCAAAAATATTGTAATTTGAGCTAGGTATCGACCTCTATGTAATCATTATCACATATATAACCAATTAAACTTCAAACAAAACTGGGGGCAGTTGGATAGCCTAGTGGTTAAAGTGTTTGCTTGTCACGTCGAAGACCAAGGTTTGATTCCCCACATGGATATAATGTATAAAGCCCATTTCTGGTGTCCCCTGTCGGGTTATTGCTGGAATATTGTCAAAAGTAGTGTAAAACTAATCTCATTCACTCACTTCCTCAAAAATGAATGCATATGTTATGTACAGCGAAAACCCACATTCTAATCATTATTGTTTTCTTCACTAAGGTTTCTCAGTACAACGACTTACTGCCTTCATACAGAAGTATGTGAGTGGAGCCAGGCTGACCGAGGACAACAACACAGAGCTGTGTTACCAGCTGCCAGAGGAGGCAGCTCACAGTGGAGACTTTGAGGCCTTGTTCTCTCAGTTAGAGATGTGCCACTTTGACCTCGGCATCTCCAGCTTTGGAATCTCTGACACCAGTCTGGAGGAGGTATGACCATCTTCTCATTGTTCGGGGTGGTGGGGAAGCCGAATGGTTAAAGCATCCGCACGTCATGCAGAAGACCATGTTCGATTTCCCATATGGGTACAGTGTGTTAAGCCCATTTCTTGTGTCCCCCGCCATGATATTGCTGAAATATTGCTAAAAGCAGCGTAAAACTAAACTCACTCACTCAGTCTGATTGTTGAGTAAGAAAGATCCGGGTCAGGAGTTTGTTGTACTTTGTGGAGAGCAGGGATAGCCAAGTCACCTGAGGCATGGTAATTTGCATCATTTCCTGGGTTTGAATCCAAGATTTGCCCTAATTATATTTCTTGGTTTATCATCGCCAAAGTGAAGACCTGGATTACTTCAGACTTTCTTCCAACCAGTGTATGAAATAAGCCAAATATCCAGTCAGACATCAGGGCTGGTAACTTCAAACTGTTACCAGCCCAAAATGGATTTAACCAGACCAAATATTGTGAATTTACTCAGATGTATGGAACATCTGAATTTTTTACGAGACCATCAGGCTGGCCAGCTGTAAGTTTAGACCGTCCGTCAGAAATCTAGACCGTCTCGGGTGGTCAGAACTGTTCATCAGCTACTCATGCTTGTTGTAAGAGCTGACTAAGGGGATCGGGAGGTCAGGCATGGTTGCTTGATGTCATCATATCCCGGTTACGTTGGTTGATGCTCATGATGCCAGTCTCTGGGTTGTATGATCCAAACTATTATATACAGATCACCATCATACAGCTGAAAAAAAGCGAACAAATCTGTCATTAAACAGACATTACATGATATGACCAAAATGCTTTTCAAACACTAAACCAAACTCACTCACTCACTGTTTCACTTTATTTTTTCTTTGATTTATGCTGTCTACTATAATGGGTTACACAAAACATGCCTTCGGCACCATTAACCAATGTAGCACAGATATTTGTGTCAGTATCAGAGAATGAATCACGACTAACTCACAACTAAAACTGGGTGAAATGAATTCATGTGCCATTTTTACATAGACGTGTGTTTTGATTTCAAGCTGTGAAGGAAAATGGTAATGTTTGATTTTGTTGTGTCCAGGTTTTCCTGAAGGTTGCGGAGGATAGCGGTGTGGACATCCCCACAGACGAGATGACTCGCAAGCAGCTTGAACAGGTCTATGATGGTTGGTGCCTTACACACTAGCTTCGTTGTTTGTCAGGTGTTTTTATCCCAGATTCACATGTCTTACAATAGAAGTTGCAAGTGCCCTGGTATTTGCTTGTACATAGCTCTTAAACAGATGAAACAAAGAAGTTTATTCTTTTCTGTCTGTTTTTAAACATAGTTACTCACCTTGACTCAATAGTATCTATTGTGAACCTTGATGCTTACAAACCCGTGAAGATCCAGGTTCGAATTGATCTTCTGTAACCCATGCTTGTTGTAAGAGGCAACTAACGGGATCGGGTGGTCAGGCTCGCTGACTTGGTTGACACATGTCATCGGTTCCCAAATGCGTAGATTGATGTTCATGATGTTGATCACTGGGTTGTCTGGTCCAGACCCGATTATCTACAGACTGCCGCCATATAGCTAGACTATTGCTGAGTGTGGCGTAAAACTAAACTCACTCAGTCACTCACTTGATGCTTACAATCTCCTTTTAGGAGGCAAATATCCAAAGCCAGTGTCTCGTCTGAGTTTCCGTAAGAAGAAGTTTGGCATCTTCCCCATCAAGCAGCGAGTGAACTGCGTCAACAGCACTACTGACCTGATGGAGGACAGTGACCTTGAAATGACAGGTGAGTCCGGTGCTTCTCATTGCATCTCTTTCATGCATTGTTCCTGATAGCATTAACTAACTCATGACTGTACCATTATATGCGGTACCATTTTTGCTTTCCTCATGGGGCATATATACTCAACCTCTTCTTTGTCATTCCATATTTTAATGACTTAACATATCAACATGTAACAACTGTCCCTGTTCAAGCACCTACTGATTCATCCATGGACAGAGAACTCTTTTCTCTTTGCATTGTCATTGTTGGGATTCAAGGGTTGTATAGCCCCTAGTAACCATGATTGTTTCACTAATGGGATTCAAGGGTTTTATAGGCCTCTAATATGCATTGGTGCTTCGTGTTGGGATTCAAGGGTTATATAGGCCCCAAGTACCTGTTATTGTCTCACCTGCTGACACATCAAAGGGAAGTGCACTCCTTTTCTTGCATTCTCCCTGATGGGATTCAAGAGTTGTATAGGTCCCAAGATACTGTAATTGTCTCACCTGCTGATGCATCCAGGGGAAGAGCACTCCTTTCTCCTTGTATTCTCACCGTTGGGATTCAAGGGTTGTATAGGCCCCTAGTAACCATGATTGTTTCACTAATGTAATTGTCTCTCCGTTGGGATTCAAGGGTTGTATTACCCCCAACTACCTGTAATTGTCTCTTCGTTGGGATTCAAGGGTTGTATGGGCCTTAAGTACCTGTAATTGTCTCTCAGTTGTGATTCACGGGTTGTATAGGCCCCAAGTACCATGATTGTCTCACTGTTGGGTTTCAAGGGCCTCAAGTCCCCAAGCATGTCTACAGTACCCAGTAATTATCTTGATTTGGGGATTCTGGGTCAGAATATGTACCTAGTACTCTCCCAGTCCTTGATAGAATAGCGGTGAGTGGTGAGGTAGGTAAGTGGACAATGTAATCTTTCATCACACTGAAGACTGGGGTTCAGTTCCATACTTGATTGCAGTGAAGCCCAGTCTTAGGCTATATAGGTGAGATTGCTGGAAAATGTTTTACACCAACCTCACTCTTCTCTATTTTTCTTTTATGATTATTGTTTCACATTTTTGTTATTGTGTCATGTTGAAGCCCGCACTCAGAGTAAGAAAAGTAAGTGAACTTTTCATATCCTATGGTGTCAATTGTTCATTCCTTGTTTTTTTATTGTGTTTAGATCAAGTTGTCAGTTTATTACCCCGTAAGTTGTTTGTTGTCATAAGTTCTTGCCCATTACGGTGTCAGACTCCTCAGTGCATGACTGAGTGTAAGCAAATATTGATGTAAATTGCATGGAAAATACTCACTATTTTGTCTCCTCTTGCGCTTCTGAATTCACACAATCAACCTTGGATGCATAGGGTCCTGACACAATTATTATTATTTTTTGCATCCATTTTCTATTTTTGATAGTATGCTTAAATTTCTTCATCCTATAGATCACTTATCATCCTGTCCATTGGGTATAGTTTCCATCATCAGTCATGAGCTTTATTGATAACTGCTTATGCTAGTTTATACTGTGTGCTGCAGTGGGCATCCCCTTTGCTTCTATAGCCATACATGCTGCAATCCATATCTCATGATAAGTAGATCCTGATGTTTCGTCAAAAGCTTAATGAAATTGAAATATACTACTCAAAAAGGTTAAGGTCTCCCAATTCTGAATTCTTTCATGCAGCCAGTGTTCCTTAACTTCGTCCAAGTGATATATATGTTATATTTCAAACCCCAAAACTGTAACATTTCAGAAAACTACCAGTGATAATATCCATTTTGAATTTGTTAGTTTCTCCAAACTTTTGACTGAATCATTAGTGAAGTGTGCAGAATAATACTACCATGCTTGTGAAGCTGCCTTGTTTGTGTGTGTAGAGGATGGTAGCATCAGCCATCAAGGTGGAACTGCTCCAGTGTTCCAAGACTTGTGTACATGCATGCCAACCTGTATTGAAGTATGGTCTTGTTTGTTGAGGTGTGCCGTATTTCCATTATACCACAGTTTGAAATGCTGATAAATATGTATCTATATATGTTGGAAAATACAAGTATTTTATGCTTTCATTGTCATGCATTCTTATCTTGTTGGCACATTTTACGTAACAAGTTAAGTTGAAAGTTAGAAATGAGCAACCTTTTTTTCTAAAAAGTAAGCTATTCTGAACCAGCTTCCTGTATGTAATGTGTCTATCAAGCATGTTTTAACCAAAGTGACAGTTGACTATAATGGCATATGAATGAAAGGTTGAAAAATATGTGTGCAAAAATTCTTAATTATCATTTGCCTATTTTTACAAATTACACAAATGCATGCAATGTATGTGTATCATAATACAATGAAACATTATTGCAGTCAATTGCAGTATAAATGTCAGGCAAATGCCCTTGACTTGTGTGATGGGATGTAGTGACAATCATCAGGCCCTATCTTCTGCTGTATTCTAAACTTTAGACTTCTGTATATGTCTACCTGCTTTGAAGCATTGGCTGTGCATGAGAGTCTAGCTTTGTTCTGCAGCTGATGGTGTGTGGTAAGATCTACATGTGTGGTGCTCCTGTTATATAAATGTCTGCTTTCTAAAGTTTCCATGAGTCCTAACCCAGAGGGAATTCTAGGATAGACAAGATCTCTATCAACCTATGCTGGTTGTAATACACCTAGTTGTCGGTACAGTAAGGTGCAGTAAACTTGGACAAAGTCTTGTGACTATGTGTCCCAGTCCACCCAGCTGTGAATGGGTACCTCGTAAGGATGGGAAAGCCACAATAACTTGGTGTGCCTTGACAACCAAATGGATTCGGTGGACAGGTTTCATGACTTAGTTTAAAGCATAGTTTAAATCATGTCATTGTTCCCGAGCAGTGTCGTTCACAATATCGGTCACAGGGTTGTCCAGTCTCGACTTCATTCTAAAAGGGACCCGTGAAGATCCGGGGTAGAATAGGTCTTCAGCAACCCATGCTTGGCACAAAAGGCGCCGATGCTTGTCGTAAGAAGCGACTAACGGGATCAGGTGGTCAGGCTCGCTGACTTGGTTGACAATGTCATCTGTTCCCAATTGCGCAGATCGATGCTCATGCTGTTGATCACTGGATTGTCTGGTCCATACTCGATTATTTACAGACCGCCGCCAAATAGCAGGAATATTGCTGAGTGCAGCATAAAACTAAACTCACTCACTCACTAATTCTAAAAGGACACAGTCATCATTCACACTGAAACAAAAACCCTATTTTTTAAGTAGAGGAAACAACCACCTCTCAAGCAGTGTTTATCATCCGCTACCTCATATCTGGTCCTGCACACTGTGTTAAGCTGAAATTCGCATGGCCCAGTTGTCTGAGGCACTGCTGTTCTATGTGCAGAGTTAAGGGCCTTAGGTGTCCAGGAAACCTGATTGACAGTTTGAATCTCAAGTTATTATGTTTTCTGGTGTGTCTCCACCTGCCAATGGTTGTGGGTTTTCAACAAAGTCGTAAATTTTCTTGTCTAACTACTTCATCATAGGTTCTCCACTTCTGCAAGGTCACATGCTTTATATGTCTGAAATACGATCTACTGTTTCACCTTCTCACTGGAATCTAACGTCCAACATTCACTAATTACACCTGCATGAAGGTCTATCTCCACGCGTCTGCTCTCTGTTTCAGATGAGACATCAGAACAAGCTAGTGATCCAGGTTTCTGTGCCGAGTCAGAGACAAAGCTATCAGGATGGACCCTCAAACGACGTCAGTTCTGGGCACTCTTCATCAAGCGTTTCCACCGTGTTCGCCGTAGCAAGAAGGGCTTTGTGTGTGAGGTGGGTTTGTTTGTCGGTTTGTCATTATTGTCAAAGGAGGATTCTGTTAGTCCGATAGTCCTGCCCAATAGGCTAAGGATATAAGAACGTATGCTGTGGTACCAATCCATCTTTGGACAAGTATAAGTTGTTAGCACTGAAGACCTCCTTAAGAGACTTGTCTACAGAGATTTTGTTAGTACTACACTTAAGTTAGGGACTGGTCATTTGTTTGGGGGAAGCAATGGTGAGATTGGTCCTAGGACTAGAACTACAATATTTTGCTTGCTATTTTTTCTTGCCCCCCAACCTGCTCCTTTCCCATATTTGTGATACTTTTTTGGGCTAAGCCACTCTTTCATTGTGTCTTGGCTACCCCCAAATGTTCCCTTAACCCCAATGTCAAGATCCCTGCTCTTCTATAATATATCTTACCATCACCATTTTCATATCTAGTTGAATGGAAACATAAATCAACCATCTGTTTGAATTGAAATAATAACACATGTCTGTTATTGTAGTGAATCATGAATATAATAATATTCAAGAGATGACAAGCAGTAACAAACAGTTACATAGGAGAGAAGTCATAAATTCAATGAGACAAACTGTATCGTTTCAGATCATCCTGCCGGCAGGGTTTGTGTGTCTGGCCATGGTGTTTGCCCTTATCCTGCCCCCCTTCCAGGCGGAACCAGCCCTGGAGCTGCACCCCTGGCTCTATGTGCCCCAGAAGGGCGACGATCACCTCTTCATGTTCTACACGTGTGTACTACATTGATACTTGTAGCTGTAAATTTAGAGGTGGTGAGGTAGCCTAGTGGTTAAAGTGTTCACTCGTCACACCAAGACCCGGGTTTGATTCCCACATGGATAGAATATATGAAGACCATTTCAGGTGTCCCCTGTTGTGATATTTCCGAAATATTGCTAAGGGCGGCTTAGAACTAAACTTACTCCGTCCCTGTAAATTGATGAAGCTTATGAAATCTAGTCTCTACTTCATGAAAGGCAGCGATGGTAAAGATACAAGGAGACAATAGGGCTTGTCACAATATGTCACTTTGGCCTAAGACTGCTGCAGATGGCACAGAAATTCTCAGTTTGAATTAAATATTTCCCTATTCCTCATAATTTAAGAAGATAATAACAATGAAATAATCCAATTGTGAACAATGTCACATTTTCAAAATTTGCCAGTCAAAAGCTCTTGAATGCCAGATATGTCCCTGCTTGACTTTATGTAAGTAACACAGCGACACATTCACACAAATCCTTAATGATTCCCTTAAATACTTAACCACAATGTCAGTGTGTTGTGCATGGCACTTGATACAATGGATATACCGGTCACCCCTATACCTATCCTTTTATGGGCATCAGCCCATGGCGCCAAGTCCCTTTATGACTTTAGTGTTTTGATTGGCAGTAATGACGACCCTGGTACAACCCTCGCAGACAAACTGGAAAGCACCCTCCTGTCCAAGCCCTATTTAGGAACAAGATGTATGAACTCGTCGGTCTATCAAATCAGGTAAATAATGCAACTATTTTCATTTGTCACAACGATGTTGGTAAAAGATTGAAACTCAATGATTTTTCTAGCTTAAAAGTAGAAATTTTACTTAAGGTAACAGTATTGAATATATATGATCATTCACCCTAATTATGATTCTTCAGACTGTATTGTTTTCTGGTACCTACACAAATGTATTGATAAACAGTAATTCCCATAAGAAAAAGTGATGCAAAGGTAAGAGTAAAGTGATTCAGTGTATCATTTATAGGGCCTGTAAGTCTCTCAAGGCGCTACTATTTCTGGTACTAAGCTGGTCCCTGCTCCCTTTACACGCGCCAACTAGAGAAAAGCGAGACGGGGCCCAGCTTACTTCCGGTACCTGGTTTCTGGTGACAGGTGTATGTTGCAAGAACCAGTTCTGGTTCCGAATTGCGCGACTGCCAAATATGACTTTACTAGACCAGCCAAGTATACAACCATGCTTGGCTGTCACAGCTTTTGACAGTCATAATACATGTAGTTGGCTAATTTGGGGATAGTTAGATTGGAAATTTGATTATCGCTTCCTTACTGTCAACTGACAACCATGAGTCCATACGAAAAGGTATGAAACGTTGTTTGTCACCGGAAGTACATAGGCCTCGCGGAGTGCCGTGACCTACTAACAGGCCCTGTTGCACACTATGAGTCATGAGGAAAGTCATTCTTCACTCTGGTTTGATGGTGTGTGATTCTAGTGGGATGCCATGTGAGCCATCAGATGCAGTGGGAAAATGGACGGCACGACCGGAGCTGACCGGAAACCTGTCCATAGACTCTCCATCCTGTTCCTGTGCCTCTGGAGTCCAGGAGTGTCCACCAGGTAAAACAACTCTCTCTGTGTGCAGTCTCTGATGAACCTGTGAAGATCAGGATTAGAATTGGTCTTCAGCACCCATGCTTGTCATCAGTGGCGACTAACATGATCGGGTGGTCAGGATCGCTGACTTGATTGACAAATGTCATCTTATCCCAATTGCGTAGATCGATGCAAATGTTGTGGATCACTGGATTGTCTGGTCTAGACTTCATTGTTTACAGACCGTTGCCATATAGCCGGAATTTTGTTGAGTGCAAACAAACAAAGCTGTCAAAGATGCTTCACTCCACTTTGCACAGTTGCATACCTCTCATGTGTCAGAATCCTATGTGGGTTTTAACCCTGGATTGCATTTCTAATTATTGTTTTTTTTCAGCTCCAAGTCTTGGAGAGCAGTTTATGTCTAAGGCCTTATCACAGTGCACTTTCTCCCAATGTTTACTGACTTGCCCAGATGTGTACTAGAGCTGTTAGCTCATTTAAATTAACTCTGTATAGTGCACACATCTGTAAAATTGAGTATTAGGATTGGAGAATCCAAAGAGAGTGATCATCAAAATAAATTGGTTAGTATCAACTTGATAAGTTTAGAAAAGTGTGATCACACCTGACAAACACAAATTCAGCGCATTAATTTTTTAAAATTCATTGTCATCACTCTTGGTTTTCTCTAAATACTTAGAAGTAAGTTATGAATACACCTTCTCTGAAACAAGATTACCTCATAACTTGAAAAAGGTGGCAAAATTGTTAGTGTTCGATTGCTTGGTTTTTGCACTTACCAATCAATCTCCTATTGTTTAGATCAGATTGAAACCAACCCACTCACTCACTTACTTTGATCCAGGTGCTGGCGGCCCCACCCCTTCCCAGACCTACCTCCCGACAACAGACTACCTCTACAACATGACGGGGCGGAACACCAGTGACTGGCTAGTCAAAACCATGAAGCAGTATATCAAGAGAAGGTAAGTCAGGCAATGTTTGCTATTAGAGTGAAACTGCTGGGGGGGGGGGGCAAATATTATACCAGTAAAGGATTGTCGGGTAGACTAATGGTTAAAGCATTCACTCATCATGCCAAAGACCCAGGTTCCCACATGGATACAATGTGTGAAGACTATTTCAGTTGAGGTGAAATTGGGTTTAACGTTGTGCTTGAGAATATTACGCTCATATGACGACCTGCATGCGTGTGTATGTGTGTATGTGCGGCTGCTTGTACTAGCCCAGACTGAAGCTGGTTTTATAGTGCTAGCCCACTGAGATACCACGCCGCAGTGAAGCATGAATACCCCACTCAGACACATTATACTGACTCCGAGCCGACGAGTCCTTGTTGTTCCCATTAATGCCGAGCGCCAGGCAAGGACCAACAAGTACCATATTTTAACGTCTATTGGTATGACGCGACCGGGGATCGAACCCGCGACCTTCCGCTCTCTGGGCGGACGCTCTAACCACTACACCACGGAGGCGGTCGACTATTTCAAGAGTCCCTGGCAGTGATATTACTTGAATATTGCTAAAAGCGGAGTAATACTATACTCAGTCACTACTTCTATACTTTTACATGGAGATTAATTTCAGAATTCATTATTACATGCAAAATACACAGAGATATGTTTTTGGGGGAAAGTGTGCACATATGCAAGAAAATATGGTATTTAAATCAAAGGACCCCTTAAATGTTATGGCCTGTGATGAGAACCCCTTGACTTGTATCTCTGAGTTGGTTGAAGGATAGTCCAGTGTGTTTCCATCTCCTCCGATGTCACCTTGAAGACAGGTTTTTTTTCATGTTACTTGTAGATACGGAGGCTTCAGTTTTGGAGACAAGAACCCTGTAGCTCAGCTGAATTCTACACAAATAGTGAACATCATTGACCGACTCGGAAGAGCAGCCAATAACGGTTCTGCTGTTGTCGATGGTAACGAGACAATATGGCAGGACCTGGATGATTTATTCAAGAGATTTGTCCGACAGGACATTGCTAAGGTATATCTCAAGTTGCTATTTCTGTTAATAACCAAATCAAGTCTTCTTTTTTAGTTATTGTCTTCTTGGTTAACGTTGAAACTTTTGTTGATGCCAGTAAATTTCTTGTGAAAATCCTTGCCTGAATGTTGCTACCAAAATATAGATATTTCCATGAGAGAGACTGCTTGCTGGATTTCCTGGCCAGGACTTTATTATCTATTTTCCTGACTGGTCTGAAACATCCTAACTCTCTAGAATATGTTCTCTGTCTCCTGTAGGTATGGTTCAACAACAAGGGATGGGCAGCTGTCGTGGCCTATATGAACTCTCTCAACAATGTCATCCTGCGCAGTTATCTCCCCTCCTCTAAGGACCCCAGTAACTTTGGCATCACCACCATCAACCATCCACTCAACTATACCCAAGAACAACTGAATGACGAAACAATGTATGTATCGTACGATATTATTTTCAGTATTATTTCTTTGGTGATCTGGATATTTTTCCTTACCCTATTTATAGCAAAAACCGCTCTTAGATTATTAGATTACCCCAATCTTGAGTAATCAGATAACCCAAATAGCAACTCTTGGAAGAATAAAGGAACTTGGAATTTAAATGAACTGCCTTACTTTGAGCTGTTCTTCCACAGCGTCATTAACTATCAGAAACACTGTCTAAAGCAGCAGGAAGCTGTCTAGCTCTCTAAGCAGAAGAGATCTTATCATCAGGGTTTTACACAGACTTTGAAAAAAGACAGTCATTGTGACCCACAGTATTTATATTTGGGAGTCATTTTCAATATTTTTTCTTATCCTGACTCATGTTTATTTGCTTGTCTTCTTCTTCTGGCGAACCTAGTGGAACACTTGTATCTCCCAATTGAAGTTCCCTTCAATAAAAAATCACTCATTAGTACTGACCACGAGTTACCTCCCTTCCACAAGCGCGGGAACGAGGGCGCCACCTGAACCCATGTGCCTCACTCTCTCCTTCTTCGCCCAGTGAGCAAGACGTGAGAGCACCTGTGTCTCCCAACACACTATATCCTTTATTTATATTTAGTTTGTTACCTCTTATATTCATCTATAGAGGTGTAACTAGTATCATTATTCAACATGCATTGATAATTATTCGTGTTTCTGCTGCTTGATTAACGGTTCGCCGTGTTGCTCAGCAGTTTGCGTTAATAAAAATCTGCACTGTTTGTAAATTACGTTACTCTGCTACCGATCCACATTTAAAATGCCCTAGTTGCATTACTCCATGTTCTATTGTTTCTCGTTGTAAATTATATATTAATTTACCAATTTCTGCCTTTAGATAAATATTTATGTTCCGTTTTGAGACGGAAGGCAGATAAATCTCGGAAACAATCTTCAGTCATGGCTAATAGATCGGAGTCAGATATATCCACGGGCCCCAGAGCCCACCCCATACTAAGTCATACAGGGCCCCAGAGCCCGCCTTGACTTCGCGTAGGGCCCCTGAGCCCATAGATGCGCCTCCGGGAAGGGCAACCCTGCCCGGAGTGAGCTCTTTGCATAAGGTATCCAAGGCCGCCTCCGAGAAGGAGCTAGAGTCTGACCCTTTGCAAGAGGCTTCGCGGAGAAGGAGTGCTTCGCCGAGCACGCACCTTGTCATGTACGAAGGGCGTTCGCAAAGCAAGCACTCATATGTCGGATCAGACACTGACTCCAGACATTCGCGCAAGACGCTAAGGTTAAGTGGTTCTACAACGCCTAGAAGACGCTCGGCAGCAGCCCTCAACGCTCGAGAAGCCCAGAGCGCCGGGCGGCCATCACCGCTTCTCGAAGCTTCCACAGTTTCCGCCAAGGATGTCTTCTCCAAGGTCTACATACACTAGCCAATCATCAGTCCGTTCTCCTCAGTCCTCACATAGATCTTCTTACAGATTGAGGTCTCCGACATACGCACCATACGCCAGAGGAAGACGATGGTATCATTTAAGATCGGACTCTAGACACCTCGCTAAAGAAGTCCCAGGCCAGCCTCGCCGAAGGAGCTACAGCCTCACCAGTTGAGAGGGACATCGCGAGAAGGAGCTGCCACGAGCCCACACCCTGTAGAACACAGAGGTCGTTCATGAAGCAAGCGCCATATATTGATCGGACTCTGACTCGATACTTTCGCTAAAGGTAGCGAAGGCTAAGTGGCTCCAAGTCTATTTCACCCAGAAGATCTAGAAGCGCTACTTCGAGATCTTAGCTAAGTCCCCGGCGTCACCGAGGAAGTCCCTCCAAGGTCTCCATATACTAGCCACTCGTCCATATATAGCCACTCGGCCAGTCCGCTCAAGACATCACATGAGTTGTTTATCAACTGTAAGCCATATGCCGCCTACAAGCCTACGCCGAAGACAATTGCACAGGCTATTTACAACACACAACGCCGCTGTATTAATTTATCAACGGATGAAGAGCCTAATTAGGATCTTCAAGCCGACTACCTACTACAATACGATTATCTACATGCGTGACCATTACGCAGATCTGCAGACAATTCAAAACGAAATTGAACAGCAGTCTTGTTACAGCGAGTAAAACTCATAATCATCAACGATGTCCTCAGAAGTAATATGTACAACAAGTTCAGCTTTAACAGTCTACAAGCTGACAACTTCCAAGGTTATTGAACCTTATATAAGGAAGTCGGAATTATCTTCAAGACTGAAGTTACTTTCACGACAGCCTGGAAAATAACTTATCCAGCATTAATATTACAGAGCCGCCAGGTATTTCGCTACCGAGGTTTCGCTTTACCATCAACCCTCAAACACGTATCACTGGGTAACTTCGAAGTTACGTGAAGACTGACGATTGTTCTAATATCAACGACGCACTATATTATACAAGGTTCCTTTCCTGATACACCGTGACGCCACAGCTGGTACTCTACAGAATCAAAATGCCTTGTTCTGATTGGACCGAGATGGACAACGCCTCTACGCGAGAGGTCGATCATAGTTCACAGTTCAACACATAGGTTGCAAGTGACAACAATATATCAGTGAACGAAAGCAAGCCTCCTTACAGTCCAGCTAATCTAAACCTTCATGATTGGGCTGCCTTCTTGAGGTTAGAGACCTCCCCTGTCAAGTAAGGACGAGGACACGGCAGTCAGACGATTTTTACATAAAGTTCAACGATGGCAGTCACCCCTGGTTATGCATCTACATCGCCAAACACTTCAGAGCGAATTTACCTCGACGACGGGATACAAATGGATCCAAATCCATAGCGCCTCAGACTACAGTTGAATTCATCATCAAGCTACTAACACAACTAGATGGTTAGTAAACCTACTTAAGTTGGACCTAGAACCTTCGCAAGATCTGCTATTCTAGGTTTTGATTTGTAACGACGCGAAAATCGTGATAATTGTACCGAGGACCATGGATCAAGATCCAACGGTCATTTCCACAAGCCTTACTATCTCCACTACCACTACGACAGTGACAGAGTCTGTTTGGGGTTACGCACTTCAGCTCAGCTCAAGACATGACAGACAGAGGCAGACTACAATTACATCTGTTACAAGTCATCAGCACTGCGATCTAGATCTAATCTCTACCGCTCAATCATCGGTTCAGGTCAAACCTCATCTACTATGATGCACCAAGAGATCAATGTTTGAATAGGCGCCTCGCTAATAGAGCTGGAATCGATAACACTTTCTACGTGATGTGTCACTATAAGGTTGGGGAGCCCATCTTGCCAACAGGACGGCATCAGGGCTATGAGCAATCAAGAGAGCAATTACACATAAATCTGCTAGAGATGCAAGCAGTAATAAACGCCTTTTAATACACTGGAGCAACTTACTACAGTATACCCAGTGGATGATTCACACAGTCAATTCGACAGTGGCGCTTTTATGTGAACAAACTATGCTCAACCAGGTCCCCTAACATATCGACTCTGTTTTCAATTGTTCGATTTAATCAACAACCTCAACATACATGTCAGAGCATATCACATTCCAGGAGCAAAGAATGTGATAGCAGACGCCTCTCGCCACACATACCATCGCCGACAGAATGAATGCTCCATACAGAGATATTCACTAAATTATCAAGGAAATAGGAACTACAATAATAGACCTATTTACCATTCGATTCAACAAACAACTGACAACATTCAGACGCCAGTTCCAGACCCACTAGCATTGGCAACAGACACACTAAGCATATCGTGGAAGGTCTCAACGCCAGACGCTTTTCCGCCACCAGCGCAATCTCACAAGTTTACTCTAAATCAGTCTAAAGCAGAGCCTCCATCTGATTTTGGTCACGCCTACTGACCAGTGAGGAAGTGGTTTCCAACTCTTATTCAAGAAATCGGACAACCAATACTACACCTTACAGAGTGCTCGAATCTGTTAATACATCCGCGACACCAAACAAGCGCACGGAAAGCCAGATATATTCCAACTCCACGTGATGGATTGTATCATATGCTGTCTGAATAACAAGTTATTCAGCCAGAGCGCAAAGCAGTCTAACTTGCCCTCGTAACTCAACTGGCAACTTATAATGATGACAAATGGCACAGTTTTGTCAATTATGCTGCAAAGGAAGGATTTACAGCTAGATATGCTACTCATCCTCAAGTGGCGGACTACTTATCTTATCCACGTCCAGACTAAGATTTTATAAGGCTAGCTTGTCCACCTATCTTGCAGCAATAGCTCTATCATAACTGAGAACGGGCGTCAAGCTAACCTAACCAAGTTACTCGCCTGCTACGAAGCTCGATTGGAGGATTAAACGGAAGTTCACGCCCAACTTGGGATCTGAATATAGTGCTCCAACACCTCACAAGTGAGGTTTATGAACACGCTTTGATGATATACTTGAACCCCATGATACGATGAATCTATCAATGATGGCCAGTAATAGCACTGAAAATATATCTCCACCGAGCCAAACAGGAGGGAAACATGCAATAGATTTATTTCCTCTATCAAGCAACGCAGACGGAAGTCTCACGTGCATCTACTATATCTCCTTTTGGATCAGAACTGTCATACTACGTGCCTACAAGACTGTAGGACTCCTACCCTCCATGAGCTTCTAATCCTCATAATATTAGAGCTTAACATCTCCAATTGCTCTACACAAATGCTTTTGGAATAATGGAGGGTTATTTCTGAGATCCGATATGGTGTTTGCCAACCACTATCTGAGAGATATCACCACCGAGGACGTCTCAGGTATCCACCTATTCGGTCCCATGGTCCTCGCACAACAGTTGACAGTTCCTCGGAGACGATAAGTCCATCTTACAGAATTTTACTTATCTTATAACAGTACTAAATAGCTACATGCTATATATATTTTGCTTAAGTTCACTATTATCTTAAGCTCAGTACTATGGTTATTATATCATACAATATGTAAGCTAACAACTCTACGGAGTTTGTTATTATATATTTAGCTTAAGTTAATCATATCTTAAGCTCAGTACTATGGTTACATTATAAATATATTAGCTAACAAACTCTACGGAGTTTTTTGCTATTATATATGTAGCTTAAGTTTATTCATATCTTAAGCTCATTACTATGTTTATATCATATAAGTATATTAGCTAACAAACTCTAAAGAGTTTTTTGCTATCATATACTTAGCTTCAGTTTCATCATATCTTAAGCATTATGGTTACATTATAACATGTATTAGCTAACAAACTCTACGGAGTTTTTGCTATTATATATGTAGCTTAAGTTTATTCATATCTTAAAGCTCAGTACTGTGTTTATATCATATAAGTATATTAGCTAACAAACTCTAAAAGTTTTACTATCATATACTTAGCTTAAGTTTCATCATATTTTAAGCATTATGGTTACATTATAAAATGTAATAGCTAACAAACTCTACGGAGTTGTTTTGGCTATTTAGGTTGCTTGCTAATTATATCTTAAGCACAGTTCTATAATCATACTATATATATGCCTACAACTCTTAGGAGTTCTACTATTATATATATGTTCAGCTTAAGTTTCAATCCTTAAGCTCAGTCATATGTTCATTTCATAACATGTATTAGTTAACAAACTCTCAGTAGTTGGTTACTATTATACAGCTTAAAGTATCATTATACCGTAAGCAAAAATTCTGTTATACCTTACATATATGCATATTGTAAGCTTACTACTTTGGTTCTTATAAAAGTATTCATTATAAACTATCAACAGTTTATACTATCACATTAATAGCTTTAGCTTAATTAATGTTCTATATACTTTATTATATTTAGTAAATTGTAATAACCCTTATATGGCAACTGATAAGTTAACAGCAGGAATTCAGTTCAGTGCCTTCATGAAGTTCCCTTAGGGTTATTACAATTATCTCAGTTCAAATCACTAATTAGTAAAATCCAAAGTATATATAATCCCACCTCCTATTCCGTAGGACTCTACAAGCAAATAAACATGAGTCAGGATAAGAAAAAATATGAAATTTTTAAAGTAAAATTAATATTTTTATACTTATCCTGACTCATGAGGTAAGCCCTCCCGTCCCTCCCCCCTTAACAACACTTTGGATTTCCCTGGAAATTCAGGTGTTGGGCTCAGTATATGAGGAGAGAGTGAGGCACATGGGTTCAGGTGGCGCCCTCGTTCCCGCGCATGTGGAAGGGAGGTAACTCGTGGTCAGTACTAATGAGTGATTTTTTATTGAAGGGAACTTCAATTGGGAGATACAAGTGTTCCACTAGGTTCGCCAGAAGAAGAAGACAAGCAAATAAACATGAGTCAGGATAAGTATAAAAATATTAATTTTACTTTAAAAATTTCATATTTGTGAGTCGTGAATTTATTTGCATAATCTTTATGTGTGTATATCAAAAAGCAAGCGTTTTGCAAAGATTTTATTGTTTTGTGTTGTATTGTCATTGATATGTTAGTTAATAAACAGCATATTTTTCACTGTTCAGTTCATTCATAACAAACTCATGTATACTGAACAAATAATCAGGCTTGTGATTTATTCACTGTAACATACCGTTATTAACATGAATTGAAAGAAATATCTAAATTAATGAAGACCTCACTAAAAGTTCATTGTTTGCTATCAAATCGATTTTATTGACTCTGAACTGAATTCTGAGGGTCACTCATAAAACTTGCGTCAAGCTTGACTTGTATGATAATATTTTGAGAGTCTTTAACAAAATTGTTGCGTCAAATACGCAGGAATCCCGCATCATGTAAAACCCTGTATCATGCATCATATTCACAGCAATTTTAACATTACAGCTGTCATATCTCCCATATCCTTGCAGCAGCTTGTACAGTCTCCGCACTAAGATCTCCCAGTGGAAGAAGGCCCAGGTTATCTTGAACACCATTCCGTTTTACGTCATTTTTACCGTCATCTCCTCTCTTCCTGTATGAACAGTGCTATAGACTACCTGGTGGCCATCTGTGTCATCTTGACCAGACTGACAATATATGTTATGATGTGTTGTCTTGACCATCTCTCTGTCTCACTGTTTCCTGTTGACCATATATCACATATGTTGATCACATGTCACTCTTCCCTTGCAGCATGAACAGTGCCATAGACGTCCTGGTGGCCATCTGTGTCATCTTGACCAGACTGACAATATATGTTATGATGTGTTGTCTTGACCATCTCTCTGTCTCACTGTTTCCTGTTGACCATATATCACATATGTTGATCACATGTCACTCTTCCCTTGCAGCATGAACAGTGCCATAGACGTCCTGGTGGCCATCTGTGTCATCTTGACCAGACTGACAATATATGTTATGATGTGTTGTCTTGACCATCTCTCTGTCTCACTGTTTCCTGTTGACCATATATCACATCTGTTGATCACATGTCACTCTTCCCTTGCAGCATGAACAGTGCTATAGACGTCCTGGTGGCCATCTGTGTCATCATCTTGACCAGACTGACAATATATTTTATGATGTGTTGTCTTGATCTCTCTGTCTCACTGTTTCCTGTTGACCTATATCACATATGTTGATCACATGTCTCTTCCTTGCAGCATCACCATGTCCTGGTGGCCATCTGTGTCATCTTGAGCAGACTGACAATATATTTTATGATGTGTTGTCTTGACCATCTCTCTGTCTCACTGTTTCCTGTTGACCATATATCACATCTGTTGATCACATGTCACTCTTCCCTTGCAGCATGAACAGTGCTATAGACGTCCTGGTGGCCATCTGTGTCATCTTGACCAGACTGACAATATATTTTATGATGTGTTGTCTTGACCATCTCTCTGTCTCACTGTTTCCTGTTGATCACATGTCACTCTTCCCTTGCAGCATGAACAGTGCCATAGACGTCCTGGTGGCCATCTGTGTCATCTTCGCCATGTCCTTCATCCCAGCCAGCTTTGTGCTGGTGCTGATCGAGGAGAGAGTGTCCAACAGCAAGCACCTGCAGTTTGTCAGCGGCATCAACCCCACCATCTACTGGGTGGCCAACTTCACCTGGGATATGGTGAGTAGCAGTTACACTTCATTTGATTTATATGGCAGTTAAATTTAGTTAAAGAACACCTAATTCTTTCATAGGACTATATTTAATCCATCATGGAATAACAAGAGTGGGGACCTATTGTTTAATTTTGTTTCTCACATCAACAAAAGTGTAGGTTTTTATTCCATACTTGTATTCAATGTGAGAAGCTCATGTTCAGTGTCCATGAAATATTGCAGAACTGTTGCTAAGAGTGGTGTAAAACCAAGCTCAATCACCAACTGACATATAGGATATTAGATTGCTCTTGTTTTTCTGATACCCCAGAAGTTAGTATGACAAGGAATGGCTCCTTCAGGAAGTGACTATAATATTACTGGGCCTCACATCCCAGGGGGACTGTAATAACTGTGGGGTCATGTAGGGTGGTAAATGATCAGGTTATTTTGATTGCACAGATTTTTAAATACATTTTGTTGTCTGTCAGATACATTGTAAAGTTTTCCTGTTTCAGATGAACTACCTTATTCCTGCACTGTTGTGTTTTATAATATTCTTGTGCTTCAACAAGGAGGCTTATGTTGGCCCTGGCCATGCCCCATGTCTTGTGGCTCTACTCTTCCTTTATGGGTAAGCATGATGTCCTGTTCTCCACATGTTGATAGTGGTCAGCTGATGCCCTAGGAGAGGGATCATGTGGAACCCTTAGGTGTGCTCATAATATAACCTACTGTTTTGTATGGCCCTGAATGGATTATATACAGGTTGCTCCAATATGGCTACACCATATTTCACATGCACGCACGCACGCACGCACGCATGCACCCACACCACACCACACACCACACCACACCACACCACAACACAACACAACACAACACAACACAACACAACACAACACAACACACCCCCAGATACGTGCGTGGTGTGAAACTATTGCTGAATGAACTCCTGTCCCTAATGCATGTTTAAGAGTATCATGTGTGTCTGTACCAAGATTGCCATTCGTCAATTGTTTGTCTCGCCTAGACTCTGTGACTCACTGTAGTGTAGTTGTTGACTGCTGAGTTGAAAACAACAACACTCACTCTTTGTCTGGATCAGATATAAAAACATGCAGACCGCTTTTATATTACTCTGATTGTTAGTAATGCAATCTGTGATACTCTGATACTCACTATTGACCTTCTGACATTATGAGTGGTTCAGTAGTATCATCTTTACACATGTTGTTTCAGGTTTGCAATCATCCCCCTCATGTACCCGTTTGCCCGGTTGTTCTCCGTACCAAGTTCGGCCTTTGTTGCGTTGTCGTGTGTGAACGTGTTCCTGGGAACTGTATCAACACTGGCAACCTTCATCTTGGAGGTGTTTGAACAGGACGATGAAGTGAGTTTAGTCTGATTGAAAGTTTGTGTTTTGTTCAGCACTACAGTACCCAGTTATTGTGACCAGACCTGTGGGAAAGTCACCCCAAAAGTTTCAGGTTTCTAGTTTCCTGATTGATCCTAATATAAAGGCAAAGATGCTAAATATTTCTCATGTTTTTGTCGAGTTGCACCAGTGCTTTTGGAAATGTCAGTATCTTAGGCCTGTACGGTAAAGTTGTTTTGCTTTACTATACGTAAGTCAGTCAGTATTTTCATTGAAAAACAGACTTTTACTTCTATTTGAAGGTATTCTAGGTGAATAAAAACACTCATAAAAGTATCCTCTCCTAATTAAAACAATTATTTCCATCTTCCAATTGTTACATCAGCTTGGGTAGATAGTCAACATTAAGAAGCTGACCCTTATTTTGACCCAATGGCAGGTCTTTATATTCTTGGGCCCGTTAAAAATCAGGACGGAGCAGGGATTCCTGTCTCCTAGCTTCATGATTGTCCCTTGACAATAGTACGGCAATAAATCAAGTGACTCTGAACGCCCAGTCCCTGAGAATTTGTGTAAAGTATTTCTAAGTGGTTTCTGAAACGATGCATCACAAGTTCTAGTCTACAAGATTACAAGATTGGTTCCAGCTCCAAAACAAGTGAATGACTTTACTTGGGTGTTGATCAATCAGGACAAGATGCACACTTTGCACGAAACTTCCTTTGCCAACATACAACAATAACTGTAGCTGGGATGTTAGACAGGAATGAGAATTTTCCGCGGATCCGCGGAATTCCGGGAATTTCATAAGGCCAAGGGTCTTGCCCCAAGACCCCCAGATAGTTTTCAGAGTTTTTCTCAAAACTTCATTCTCATCACTGGTTACAAGAGGCTGAAAAATGGAAAGTGCATAATGTGAGATAGGATAACTAAATTATAAATATTCAATTTATAATGAACATGTTCAGTATTCTTTCTTTTTAAACAAATTATTAATGTTTCTCTTTGCCATCATGACGATGGCATGTGATTGGTCACATGATTGATGATCTTTGATTAAATGATGTTATTGTGCCTCACATTAAAAAAAATGGATCAGTTTCTCATGCACTTACTCCTTCCCATTGCCACTGTAGGGTCTTGCGGATATTAACAAGATACTGAAACAGGCCTTCCTGATCATGCCCCACTACTGTCTGGGCCGAGGACTGATGGACATGACCGCCTACAAGCTGCAGGCCGATATCATCTCTAGATTTGGTATGTCAGAGCATCATTATTGAATGTTTATGCAGATGGTTGTAAAACTGACTTTATGTTTTCATTACAAATGAATGATGAAGCTTGAGTCTTGTACTCATCAGACTATTGTAATGATATCACAAATAGAGGATACAATGGCTTGAATGTTTAGCCCATCACTGAAGCAAACCCTTTCCTTTAAGCACTGATTCTGACCTTGACCCTGCTTCCAAAACACTGACCTTGACCAAACCCTAGAGCACTGACCCTGAATATGAACCTGCCTCTTCAAGTTTGCCTCTTGCCTGTCCCTCCTACCAACATTAAGCCAAACCCTGTCCCACAAACACAATGTCTGAAGACCCTGACTAGTGATCCTCTAAGTGATTCTGGGTTCGATTGGATGAGGCGAATTGGGGTTTAATATCACAGTTAAGAAACTTTTGCTGATATGACGATGTGCATGTATGTGTGGCTGCTTGTACTAGCCCAGACTTAAGCTGGTTTTATTGTGCTAGCTCACTGAGATACCATGCCGCAATTATGCATGAATACCCCCACTCAGACTCATTATACTGACTCCGAGCCGACCAGTCCTTGTTGTACCCATTAATGCCAATCGCCAATCAGGGACCAACAAGTACCATATTTTAACGTCTTTTGGTATGACGTGCCTCAGTATCGAACCGGTGACCTTCCGCTCTCCGGGCAGACGCTCTAACCACTACACCACGGAGGTTGTCGATTCTGGGTTAGAATTTGTCTCTATGCTTGTCATGCAAAGAAGCTTGGGTTTTGTGGTCAGGATGGTTACTTTGTTGATGGGGTGTGCTCTGATTGCGTGGAAAGGTGCTCATGGTATCAGTCAGTGGATCATCTTGTCAACATTCGATTATCTATAGGCTACTGTTAAATATAAGAGTGTGGCATTTAAAACATGACACTTTATCAAACCTCTTACTAGTGAGCATTTTTTCCAGGTGAGACATTGGAGTACAACCTGTTTGACTGGAAAATAGTTGGCCGCAACTTGTTTGCCATGTTTGCCCTGGGTATCGTATTCTTCATCTTCAACCTGCTAATAGAGTACAGGTTCTTCATCAAACCAAGGTGAGTCCTATAGCAAACATCTCAATCTAGGACTCATAAGCATCCATTAGAGAAGTTAACCATGAAGATCCGGGTTAGAATTGATCTTCAGTAACCCATGCTTGTCGTAAGAGACAACTAACAGGATCGGGTGGTCAGGATCGCTGACTTGGTTGACACATGTCATCAGTTCCCAGTTGCGTAGATTGATGCTCATGCTGTTGATCACTGGATTGTCTGGTCCAGACTCGATTATTTACAGATCGCCACCAGATAGCTGGAATATTGCTGAGTGCAAACAAACAAACAAACAAAGCTGTCAACGATGCTTCACTCCACTGTGCAGAGTTGCATCCCTTTCATGTGATAGAATCCTATGTGGGTTTTAACCCTGGATTGTATTTCTAATTATTTATTTTTCAGCTCCAAATCCTCGAGAGCAGTTTATGTCCTAATCACAATACACTTTCTTCCAATGTTTACTGACTTGCCCATATGTGTATTAGTGAATGTTGCTGAGTGCGGTGTAAAATTAAACTCACTCACTCACCATTAGAGAAGTTCAACAGACATATTTTACTTCGATGCAACTGTTTATACATTTATGCATGAATTCCTTTCGATAAAGTAAATTGGAGAGAGTTTCATTTTGTTGGGTATAGATGACTGTAGGGAAAGCAAGATGAATGAACCTGTTTGTATGAAACATCAGATCTTACTTAAACAGATTTTTTACACATTGCATTTTCTTGTACATTAGTCAGAGGATAGTGTAGAATTAATAGGTTTTCCAAGTCTAGTTATTTCACTTAGTCACTTGACTGAGCAATGGACTATATATATCTGAGACCATAGACATTTACCACTGGGTTACATGGAGTTGCTGTGTGTTGAAGCTGTGTGGACACCTGTCTATGTTACAGGAAGGTAAAGGGAGCAACCACTCCACTGACCAACGAGGACATTGATGTGGCTCGGGAACGTCAGCGGGTCATGTCAGGGGGGGCAGACAATGACACCTTGAAGCTGGAGAACCTCACCAAGGTAAGACTGGAATCAAGTATGTTTCTCGGTTTGTTAGCCCAGTACCCATGCTCAGGTGTAAATGTCTGAGACCTTTTAATGTTTCGATAGGATTGGAACCACCTATTCACTCACTCACTAATGTGTGAACAGTGACCTGTTGTGATTTGGCTGTAATATTGCTGGAATCAGAGTAAAACCCAACTCACTCACTCACTCACGGTGCCTCTCACTTATTGTTCTATAGCCTATTGGTGAAGTTCTGATATTATTGGATCAAGCATGTTTGGCCTGTCAATGAACTGTGCGATACCACTGTCTTTCTCTGTTCAGACCTACTGGACCCCTGGGAAGAAGGGGCGCCTGACAGCCGTAGACAGACTGTGTGTGGGCGTGCCAAAGGGGCAGTGTTTTGGTCTTCTGGGTGTCAACGGAGCAGGCAAGACAACCACATTCAAGATGCTGACAGGAGATGTGGCCGTCACGAGTGGCTCGGCAGCTGTCAGTGAAATGAGGTACAAGCTTCATTGTTGTTGTCAGTGGTATCGTTGAGATTTGACTTCTTTATCTTTTGGCCATAGACCCGGGTTCGAATCCCCACATGGGTACAATGTGTGAAGCCCATTTCTGGTGTCCCCCGCCGTGATGTTGCTGGAATATTGCTAAAAGCGGCGTAAAACCAAACTCAGTCAGTCAGTCAGTCTTTATCTTTTGTGTTTTGGGATGAAATAGTGGGAACTGTGGGCTTAATGTGGAAATCTTATAAATAACACTGTGGTTTATCTTATTAATAAAACAGTCAAAAACAGGAACCTCACAGACTACAAATTTGATCAGTACTGCAAAGTATATGTAGACTGATATGAAAGCAGTGACATTGTCAGCAATAAAAAAACCAAGTCTCACACACTGTATCAGGAAAATAGTCAACTAATGAATATATGGAATTGATCAAATTTTTCTAACATTCGTATTCTGTGTCATGATATCATGATAAAATTATATATATCAAATTGAAAAAAATTATGAGGTCTTGAACCATGTTTGTTTTGTCTTTTGAACAAACAAACTAGTAAGTATGTGTTTATTGTGACAGTTTTTAATATGTATCATATAATATGACTTTACTGTAGACTAATAGTCGTCAGATTTCTATTTTTGTGGAACCTGTGGTAACAGACTGAATTAGGTTGCTTACTTCTATTGCTTGTGATAAGGTGCCTGGGCCGGTGGGGTAGCCTAGTGGTTAAAGCGTTGGCTCGTCACGCCGAAGACCCGGGTTTGAATCCCTACATGGGTACAATGTGTGAAGCCCATTTCTGGTGTCCCCTGCCGTGATGTTGCTGGAATATTTCTAAAAGCGGCGTAAAAACCAAACTCAGTCAGTCACATTAGGTGCCTGGGTTTGAATCCCAGATGTGACTCAACCCCAAAGAGTACTAAAATCTGTACTTTACTGTAATCCCAAGCATTACATATTAGCAGTATTTTCATATCACAATTATAGTCAGATGTGACTGTGTGCGACCTGATCCACTACAACCATGTTTCATTGTACAGTATTCTGAAGGACATGGTGAAGGTACGGCAGCTGATGGGATACTGCCCTCAGTTTGATGCTCTGGACTCCCTCCTCACCGGTCGAGAACATCTACAGTTCTACGCTCGAGTCAGAGGCATACCTGAGAAAAACATCAAAGATGTAAGCTGGATTGTCTTGAACTTGATAATCAATGATAATACTGCATTAGATGTACATTTTGCAAGAGGATTCTAATCATATTGATTTTATCGATTAGGCCAGACCAATTTTATTACTTGTTTTACGGATTTTTTGTCCTCGGAAAACCTAAAGGCAGGAGGGGGAAAAAAATATAAAAAAGCACCAGTCATGGCAATTTATTAAGTGTATATGGGGCAAAAAAAATAAATCTAAGAAACATTTTCTTAAAAGTTGACATTTTGGGTGAATAGAAACATTAGGATTTTATTTTTTGAGCGGGGAAAGTTCATTTTTATGTCTTTTCTTACTCTTGGAAAAATAAAGAAAAGCAAGAAATAATTTTGGTCTGGTGAAATGGTTTCTTGCTACTTATAGTTGTTATGAAGGCTGTATGTGGTGTGTGTGTGTGCAGGTGGCAGAATGGGCTATCAGGAAGCTGGGGCTGGTGAAGTATGCCAATGTGGTTGCTGGCAGCTACTCTGGTGGAAACAAGAGGAAACTATCGACAGCCATCGCCCTTATCGGAAACCCTCCCATTATATTCCTGGTAAGTCCAACACGCTGGTTGATTCACTATCACGCTCCCTCTCCTTCCCTCCCTCCCTCCCACTCATTTAGCCATACCCTTCTCTCCCTCTCTCCCCCCTTCTTCCACATGCTCCTGCCTACTCCTCCCTCTCACTTACCTGCACCCTTCTTAACCCCTCCACATGCTCCCCATTCCCTCACCCTCTAACACCCTTCCCTTCCCACTCCATCACCTCTCTCTCCACCCATCCCTCCTCTTCCTCCCTCCCCACTCCCTCACCCTCTACTTCAATTCACCCTCACCCTCCTTCCCTATCCCTCTTCCCATCCCTCACCCTCTACTTCATTTCTCCCTCACCCTCACCCTCACCCTGACTCCCAATCCCCCTCCCTATTCCCATCCCTCACCTGTTCCACTCCATTTCACTCTCCCTCTCCTCCTCCATCAATCCCTCTCTCTTCCTCCCTCTCTTCTTTTCTCTCTCACTCACCTGTGAAGATCTGGGTTAGAATTGATCTTTAGTAACCCATGCTTGTCGTAATAGGCAACTAACGGGATCGGGTGGTCAGGCTCGCTGACTTGGTTGACACATGTCATCGTATCCTAATTGTATAGATCAATGCTCATGCTGTTGATCACTGGATTGTCTGGTCCAGACTCGATTATTTACAGACCGCCGCCATATAGCTGGAATATTGCTGAGTGTGGTGTAAAGCTAAACTCGCTCACTCACTCTCCCTCACTCTCACTCTCCATCTCTGAAATGTATTTGCAGCTGCTGACCCCAAAATTCTGATTGTAGACCAAATTCACTTACATTAAATTCATTCACCTTGTCCAGGATGAGCCAACTACTGGCATGGACCCCAAGGCTCGCCGCTTCCTTTGGAACTGCATCAACAGCATCATCAAGGATGGCCGCTCCATCATTCTAACATCCCACAGGTGAGACAGTTTGGATTCCGAGTGACAAAATGGCCAACAGTACTTCATGTTTGTCATAACATAGTGGCTTTACTGTGCAGTGAAAGAAACTTATAAAATCATTCTGGTGACATTATGTCAACTTGTTTTTGCTTGTGCGTTCTTCCGAAGAATTAACAGTGCCACACTGAATATTGCATACAACCTCATTCATTCAATCAGGTTGTTTGAATGCAGATTACAACACTTGTCCAAAATCCAGTGTGTTATTTACTCTTGTTTAACACATTTGTAACGCGTTGAACTACATGAATACTTTCAGCAGTTTTCAGGTTTTGCCTTGTACTTGATGCCAATGAAAGCCCCTGATATTAAAGGATGGTGTTGGAGGATGTTTCTAAGTGTTGTTGTTTTGCCGTTGCAGCATGGAGGAATGTGAGGCACTGTGTGGCAGATTGGCCATCATGGTCAACGGCAGGTTCAAGTGTATCGGCAGTACACAGCATCTCAAGAACAGGTGAGCTGTCTCCAGTTATCCTTCATTTTCATATAAACACAACTTGTGAAGTTCTTGGTTAGAATTTGTCTTCAGCAACCATGGCGACTAACGGGATCGGGTGGTCAGCTCGCTGACTTGGCTGACACATGTCATCGTTTCCCAATGCATAGATAGATGCTCATGCAGCTGATTGCTGGATTGTCCAATCCGGTCGATAATATACAGACTACCACCATATAACTGGAATATTGCTAACAGTGGTGTTAAACATAAACGTATAAACTCATGTCAGGGTCAATTGACAGAGTGTTAAATACTGATGCATTACATCTTCTATATCAATAATATAAGAGGCTGAGAGTGGTGAAATGGGGTTAAATGGAGTGAAATAAGTTTGGTCAAGCATCATGTAGTAATCTCTGAAGATAGAGCATTTGGCTAGCCCAGTGGTTTAAGGATTAGAAATGTCTTTATTCACAGATATATCACAAGATTCACATAACAATACAGTGCATAATATGCCTACCTATGTATAAGTTGATGTTCAAATTATTGTAACAACTTGGGATAGCACTTCCTTACTGCCTGTCACTAACCAATAAATTTACTCTCATTGCATAATACTATAAGAACAAGTAGGTTTATTAGGATTATTTCATTCTGCCAATAGAAATAACCAGATGACCAGTATGATAGTATGACCTCACGTCAGCTTGATTCCATAGGGAGACCATACAAAATCAGTACAAATTAAGTGTCATGGCAGTATGTGTTGATGCAAGATATACGGTAACTCATCGTGAGCAGTGTCTACGGTAACGGACAAAACTTGTCTTATCCTGACTGCTTTACAATCTGGACAAATGAGTCGGTCCCAGACCAGTCCGTAATATACTGATTCCGCTGTAGTTAGATTGTGACACTCTTATCAAAGGGCCAAGGTTCAAATTCAACATATTATATTAATTAAGTCCACTCCAATTCTTCCCTCCATAGGCATACGTTACAAGCATTGATGTATGGTATAAACAGCTTGTGAGTTATATTAGCCTGTAATGACCCCTATTAACGTGCAGGTTCGGCAATGGGTACACAGTGACCCTGAGAGTGACAGGAGGTCAGCCCGACCTGGAGCCTGTGAAGCGTTACATCAGAGAGCAGTTCCCCGAGTCTGTGCTGAAGGAAAGCCACCACAACATGTTACAGTACCAACTAGGAACCTCCTCCATCTCCCTGGCTAGACTCTTCGGCAAGATTGAGGGTGGCAAGAAGGAAATGGGCATCGAGAGCTACTCCGTCAGCCAGACAACACTCGACCAGGTCAGTCTTGACTACTATACCCAGTTGGTCTTCTCAGCGGATTAGGTTTTACAGGGTCTAAAGTATGGGGGTCTTACAGTGGATCCTACAGACTCTCAGTAATGTGGGGTCTAAGGTATGGGGGTCTTACAGTGGATCCTACAGAATCTCAGTAATGTGGGGGTCCGAGGTATAGGGGTCTTACAGTGGATCCTACAGAATCTCAGTAATGTGGGGGTCTAAGGTATGGGGGTCTTACAGTGAATCCTACAGAATCTCAGTAATGTTGAGGTCCAAGGTATGGTGGGTCTTACAGTGGATCCTACAGAATCTCAGTAATGTTGAGGTCCAAGGTATGGGGGTCTTACAGTGAATCCTACAGAATCTCAGTAATGTTGAGGTCCAAGGTATGGGGGTCTTACAGTGAATCCTACAGAATCTCAGTAATGTGGGGTCTAAGGTATGGGGGTCTTACAGTGAATCCTACAGAATCTCAGTAATGTTGAGGTCCAAGGTATGGTGGGTCTTACAGTGGATCCTACAGAATCTCAGTAATGTTGAGGTCCAAGGTATGGGGGTCTTACAGTGAATCCTACAGAATCTCAGTAATGTTGAGGTCCAAGGTATGGGGGTCTTACAGTGGATCCTACAGAATCTCAGTAATGTTGAGGTCCATGGTATGGGGGTCTTACAGTGAATCCTACAGAATCTCAGTAATGTTGAGGTCCAAGGTATGGTGGGTCTTTCAGTGGATCCTACAGAATCTCAGTAATGTGGGGTCTAAGGTATGGGGGTCTTACAGTGGATCCTACAGACTCTCAGTAATGTGGGGTCTAAGGTATGGGGGTCTTACAGTGGATCCTACAGAATCTCAGTAATGTGTGGGTCTAAGGTATGGGGGTCTTACAGTGGATCCTGCAGACTCTCAGTAATGTGGGGTCTAAGGTATGGGGGTCTTACAGTGAATCCTACAGAATCTCAGTAATGTTGAGGTCCAAGGTATGGTGGGTCTTACAGTGGATCCTACAGAATCTCTAATGTAATCCAAGTGGGGTCTTACAGTGAATCCTACAGGTAATGGGGTCCAAGGTCTTACAGTGAATCCTACAGAATCTCAGTAATGTTGAGGTCCAAGGTATGGTGGGTCTTACAGTGGATCCTACAGAATCTCAGTAATGTTGAGGTCCAAGGTATGGGGGTCTTACAGTGAATCCTACAGAATCTCAGTAATGTGGGGTCTAAGGTATGGGGTCTTACAGTGAATCCTACAGAATCTCAGTAATGTTGGCGAGGTCCAAGGTATGGTGGGTCTTACAGTGGATCCTACAGAATCTCAGTAATGTTGAGGTCCAAGGTATGGGGGTCTTACAGTGGATCCTACAGAATCTCAGTAATGTTGAGGTCCATGGTATGGGGGTCTTACAGTGAATCCTACAGAATCTCAGTAATGTTGGGGTCCAAGGTATGGTGGGTCTTTCAGTGGATCCTACAGAATCTCTCAGTAATGTGGGGTCTAAGGTATGGGGGTCTTACAGTGGATCCTACAGACTCTCAGTAATGTGGGGTCTAAGAGTATGGGGTCTTACAGTGGATCCTACAGAATCTCTCAGTAATGTTGAGGTCCAAGGTGGGGGTCTTACAGTGAATCCTACAGAATCTCAGTAATGTTGAGGTCCAAGGTATGGGGTCTTACAGTGGATCCTACAGAATCTCAGTAATGTTGAGGTCCATGGTATGGGGGTCTTACAGTGAATCCTACAGAATCTCAGTAATGTTGAGGTCCAAGGTATGGTGGGTCTTTCAGTGGATCCTACAGAATCTCAGTAATGTGGGGTCTAAGGTATGGGGGTCTTACAGTGGATCCTACAGACTCTCAGTAATGTGGGGTCTAAGGTATGGGGGTCTTACAGTGGATCCTACAGAATCTCAGTAATGTGTGGGTCTAAGGTATGGGGGTCTTACAGTGGATCCTGCAGACTCTCAGTAATGTGGGGTCTAAGGTATGGGGGTCTTACAGTGGATCCTGCAGACTCTCAGTAATGTGGGGTCTAAGGTATGGGGGTCTTACAGTGAATCGTGCAGAATCTCAGTAATGAGATGTGAATATCAGAATGGTATTCCTCCATGAAGTTGTATGATGGATGAAATAGTGTATTGTTTCTTTCTCTGGTTAGGTCTTCATCAACTTTGCCAAGCTGCAAACAGACATGGACATGGACATAGAAGATGAAGAACTTCCTCCAGATCTGAGCCAGAGGGCATATGAGACAGGTGAGACAACAGCCCCCTTACAATACCATACAGAGTGTGTGCATGGATATCATGTCATGTGAACCTGTACTTGTTTGTCAGAGGTAGATAACTGGATCAGGAGGTTTGGTTGGTGTTTAACTCTGCACTCAGCAATATTCCAGCTATACGGCGGCAGTCTGTATCTAATCGAATCTGGACCAGACAGTCCAATGATCAACAGCATGAATCTACACAATTGGGAACCGATGATATGGGTCGACCAAGTCAGCGAGCCTGACCACCCGATCCGTTAGTCACCTCTTGCAAGTATGGGTTGCTGAAGACCAATTCTAACCCGGGTGTTCATGGGTTTGGAGCAGGAGGTCTAGCTCAGAATGGTTGATGTGGTGTCATCTTATCCCTGTATGGATTGATGTTCATCACTTGATTGTCTGGTCAAGACTTATGTGTCATCAGATCATTATAGCGTGGGATGTTATCAATAAAGTAAATCACTGGTTTGTATGGTCACCGCCTTATAGCTTTCATGTTGTTGACTGTGGCATGAAAATTGAATTAATCCCATTCTCCATCCAGTTCTGACTGGCGATTTGTATACCAGATCCCTTTCTCCATCCAGTTCTGACTGGTTATTTGTATACCAGTTCCCTTTCTCCATCCAGTTCTGACTGGTTATTTGTATACCAGTTCCCTTTCTCCATCCAGTTCTGACTGGTTATTTGTATACCAGATCCCTTTCTCCATCCAGTTCTGACTGGTTATTTGTATACCAGATCCCTTTCTCCATCCAGTTCTGACTGGCGATTTGTATACCAGATCCCTTTCTCCATCCAGTTCTGATTGGCTATTTGTATACCAGATCCCTTTCTCCATCCAGTTCTGACTGGTTATTTGTATACCAGTTCCCTTTCTCCATCCAGTTCTGACTGGTTATTTGTATTCAAGATTCCATTCTCCCAGGTTCTTGTTCCTCTTTGTTCCAGCCATGAACCCCAACCAACAGCGCCTGATGATCGAGGATGAACAGAGCGTGACAGAAAGTACCGCTGGCCTCATCCTCCCCAACAGAGCCCGTGACAACATTATGACTGATGTGTCTGTGGCATAGATTTGCAACTGTGATATATGTAGAATCTGTGATGTTAGCTCAGGCTGTTTTCATTGTGAAACAATTGGTCACCAAATATATTTCCTGGATAACATTCCATAAATGTTATTGTCACAACCACAACATTACTGCACCCTTTAGTTTTCTGGTAACACAATGGCTTATCTGATGGTTCACATGGTAACACAATACCACACCCAGTGGTACACATGGTAACACAATACCACACCCAGTAGTACACATGGCAACACAATATTACACCCAGTAGTACACATGGCAACACAATATTACACCCAATGGTACACATGGTAACACAATATTACACCCAGTGGTACACATGGTAACACAATATTACACCCAGTGGTACACATGGTAACACAATATTACACCCAGTGGTACACATGGTAACAAAATACCACACCCAGTAGTACACATTGTAACACTATACCACACCCAGTAGTACACATGTAACACAATACCACACCCAGCAGTACACATGGTAACACAATACCACACCAAATGGTACACATGGTAACACAATACCACACCAAATGGTACACATGGTAACAGAATACCACACCCAGCAGTACACATGGTAACACAATACCACACCCAGTAGTACACATGGCAACACAATACCACACCCAGTAGTACACATGGCAACACAATACCACACCCAGTAGTACACATGGTAACACAATACCACACCCAGCAGTACACATGGTAACACAATACCACACCAAATGGTACACATGGTAACAATACTTTACCTGCTGGTACACATGGTAAATACAGTCAATGATTGTATACATGGTTACACAAAAGATACTCAAACTTTTCCCCATAGATGAATGAAGTCAGAGGACCTAGTGTCGTTTCAACGTTTCACTTTGGGCCTACTTTGCTGATCTACCACATCTCATGTGATTGGTATCACTAGCATGGTAAGGATCTGACATTTATCATAGGGAAGGGGGCACCCAGAGAGATTTTTGTATTTGTATTTGTATGTGTGTGGGTGTGTATCATAAACATCATCAATTTGAACATCACAAAGGGACTGATCATAGTATATGTATAATATATGACCAGTTCTTAATGTCAGAAGAACCATTTACTTAAATTGACCCAAGATAGTCCTCTTACTTGATTGCCTTAACAGACTGTGATATACTCACTCAATACCATTTGTGACCCTCATTCCTGAGGTCTTAACAGAAGCACATGGCACATGAACAGCTGGACCTACACATGTTGAATTTAAATCAAGACATGGGATGTTGTATATATGCTTTTGTAGAACTTGAGATCATTTACCAATCTCATCATATCCAAATATTGTGTCAAGTGTCTTATAATGTCGTTCATATTTTGAAGGAGTAATTTACAACTTATGTATATCACATTATATGAAATATCCTATTTTTATGATATTTCATGTCTATATAATTCTTTGTCTTGTAAATTCCCTATGTAGTATCAAGATGGTGATGATGATAATAATGATGATCCAACAGATGTATTGTGTGGCAATACTAACAGTGCTTTCCTGTTGTCATGGTACTTACTCTAGCTTTTAACTGCCATTGGAGGTATTATATACAGAGACTATCCTAATTGTAAGACGAACAAAATGCATTGGTGATCTTAATATACAGAAATAATGATCTTATTTTTCTCTGATCTTCTAGATCAAAATTTCTATGAAGGGGAATGATGTGAGGTTATTATACAGAGCGTGTCTTATATTGGTTAAATCATCCTTGTTTTTAAGCGTTTGTGCTCGAAGATAATAAAATATATAGACAAGGATTGCATGTTCTTATGGTTTAAGTACATGACATGTAACATAAGTCTATATGAAGTACATAATATAAATAGATCTGTTTAGCAACTTGGAGTATCATTTTTGGATATTGAGGCGGGGATACCAGAAATGGGCTTCACATTTTCAGCTTGGCATCCACAATGGTGCAAGTTGTTGATGTTCTCAATTTCTTGTCTCATTTGAGTTCTCTTCACTGTGCCCATGAAAATACAAATAACCAGTACATCACTTATTACTCTGCCCGAAGTTATGAGTTGACTACGGTATTTCTCCATTATTGAGTGATGTTTCAACTGGGAGAAAGAGAGGGAGTATTTTTATGACTAGTTTTTTGCTTTTTGATGGGCATTTTGTGTCACCCTCAGCTCACCTTTACGAAGGTGGCCATTGAATGTATCTGTATATGAAATAGGAGTCTGATGGGATACATGTATGTATCAATGAGGATGCAATTTGTCTGTTATACAAGTGCTTATATGTCCGTAAATTGTAAAATGGCTAACCAGCAGGTAAGCACCGAACATGATTGAAACATTTAGAACAAATATACCTCTCCAAATAAGTTAAAGACCAACTCATTCTAATATATTACTACGATTAATCTGTCAATATCATGCCATGACTGAGTTAATATAATAATATGAGTGAATCAAGTTGTCTTCTAAGCTCTTTTTTTTAGTAGTATAAGAATGTATGATTGATGGGTTTGGGCATATACAGAAATAAAGTGTGACAAAGATGTGTCTGAATGAAATATATCTTTCCCAAGTGTTTTGTTCATCACACAAATGATTTGAATCCAGTTATTTACTGTGAAATCTGGAGTCTGATTTGAATTTCTTTAAGAGGCAGAACCAAATACCGGTGTGGTCTTTTCTGTTCAACAAATTAAAACTTAGTTTTATTAATTTTAAGGTTTTTTTTGCTTTCGTGTTTTGTGTGCGAATATATCATTAATAGTGTTTGTGAGTATCGTTTTATGTGTTTTATTTACATATTGGGAAAAAAAACCATATTTTACTGTTTTGGATTTGTGTGTATATTGAACATGTCATATGCTTTAGTCTTTTTCTCTCTATTCATCAGTAATTCCCCATTTTAATATTTTAGTTTATAAGTCATATAGTTCATATATTGTCTACCTGGTAGCTAGATCTGTGATAGGAAATAAATGTATATATGCGACAAGACAATACCATCTGGAAATTAAAACACAGGTTGTTTCAGGCAGTTGGTTTAGCCTTCACTTGCAACTCCCTTGCAATTGGATTTTATTGCAACCTTGCAGAAACTAGGCATTGTTTGAAAGATCTCTCGCAAACAATGTCTTGTGGAATGTTTGTGTCACAAGTGTTACGACAAATGTTGTAGTTCTGCTGGTCAGAACTACAGCACTGTTCATTACTGTAACACCATATTTTGAAGGTAGTGATCACGTTTTGAAAATGCTCTAAAACAGATTAGGACAGTTGTACTTTACTTCCTTGTCAGTAGTCTCCCTTTGTAATCTAGCTCCATTGAGCTCTAGAACAGTCCACACAACCGTTTCTGGGCATGATGTATTGATCATGTCACAGATTAGTTTTTAGGTACCCAACTTTCATATTTGTAACAAAGTGTTTCCAAATACTAGGCCCTTTTTATCAAATTTTATTGTTTATGGGCATTTCTTAGAAGTTGACAGTATAAAAAGTGGACAAATATCACTTCTTTGATATCCTTTTATAGTGATGTTTCAGAACAGGATCCACTTGCACAAGATGATTGTGAGCCTATGTTAAAGTATGGGCATAACGATCACCTTAGCCTTTAGATAGCTTTGTGCAAATGCACCCAGATCCTTATAATGTTTATTGTCAAGAAAGCCATCTGTTTTATCTTAAAGCTGGATGGCCGAAAAGAAAGCCCCTCACTCGATATTAGGATGACACACATGTCCAACCGATCTGTCGATTCCTCAGAACGGTCTACTGAAGTCAGTGTGTTCAGCTCCATTAATGCAGGCAATTATTAGTAAATATTTTACCTGATCTCACAGTGAAAGTTGTGACATCAACCACGTTTATTCTTTACATGACAATATATATATAATAATGTTACTTTAAGTGTACAATTTGTTAAGATTCAATGCATAATAAACAGATTTGATTTTTTGGCTACAGATGTGTTTTCATTTTGAAAAACAAACATAAGCAGAATGTTTCACAACATTTATTTACATTTTCTGTACATGTCAACAGTTACTTATCCTATAATTAGAGAAGCCTTGTTACGTCACACAGTCATATCTATATACAGTGTATATACGAAGGGACTCATTTAGCAAGACAATTGTCATTGGCATTTTAGAAGTTGGTAATAAGAATAAAGGCAAGATACTATCAAGATGACATCTTTATCTTATCGATTCTTATACCCGTGTCAAGCAAGAGTGAAGTTGCCTGACAATGGTTTAGAATTTCTACGGAAACATCACGTAATACAGACGCTACCAACCATAAAGTATCTTGCCTTTATTGTCTGACAACTGTTAATCCAGACAATTTCAACACGTCCATTCGGAATAGTAATGTATCAATACTGTTTCATTAGACAGAGACTACGTGCCTAGAACATCAAGTTAACTTGCAGTCTCTGGCTGACAATCCTACTCCTTCATACACAATAAAAATCTATTTCTTCCCACTCTTATTATAAAATAATAATACCTTTAAATGTTTCTTTAATGCCACATTCTGCAATGTGACTGTGGCGTATAAATACTGGACTTGACAAACCCATGATTGAGATGACGAAAAGGAAGGGCAAACTCTAGATTGTAATCAAGATTAAGGCTCTATGTCTACTGCAAACAACATGGCACAGTTCGTAAAAAGGAAACAAATCAACAGCTTCAAACATAGTTAAAAACAAATTTGGGATAATTATGTGCCCTGTTCAATTGAATGTCATGTGTAAGTACTGTATGAACATTCCCTAGTAACCTTAAAACTGGCTCCTAGTTTCTTGTGTAGATTACAGTTTATATTGAGAAGAATGGACATCAAAATGCCTTGTAACTATTTTCAAAACAGATTCAACAACTTCTGAACTAAGTGGGTTTGATCGTGTCCTGCTCGATCCCTGAAACTTTTGGTAGTACCAAAACCATTTATTACTGCACATACAGTAACAATGATTCCCATACATCCAAAGGAATAAGAAGTAATATAATAATATTTATATAAGCAGATTCTCAGTTCAACATCAGAAAGGGATTTTCAAATTTATCTTTAACTTTAAAACTGATCTTGAGCATACAAAAATCCTCCACTTGTTGCCCTACACATCTCAAAAATAATAACATATGTAGACACTAAAACTCAAATTGTCAACACCTGCTTTAAAATGTTACCAACTAAAATATCAAGTATTACTATTCCATCGGAAAATACATACATGATTTAGATGCATACAAAATGAAGACATCTCATAGAAATCGATTCAATTACATTGACCATTTTTGGTTATATAATCAGTGAAACATAAATAACACAAAACACACTGGATAAAGATGAAGAATATTCCGACATACAGTGTTCAAGAAGTGCCTTTATACTTTCAAATACCCAAAGGCTACATTGCATATTCCTCTAAATCACTGACATCTTGCAAAAAAAAAGCGAGCAAACTTAGCCGTACATCTTGACAAGCTGGAAAGAATGATCATCACAAATTATCCAACTGAAACTGCCTTCATCTTCAAAAGTAACCCACGTCATGAGAAGAACAGCCTGTTGATGCATCTCAAGTTGATACATTTTGAGTTGGAAAACGAAGGCGACATACAGCCCTCCCACTTGCATGTAGACTGGCTGGAATGACATTGAGTGAATGAGTGCGTTTAGTTTTACGCCTCACTCAGCAATATTCTAGCTATATGGCGGCGGTCCAGAAATACTTGAGCCTGGACCAGACAATCCAGTATTGATCTACGCAATTGGGATACAATACATGTGTCAACCAAGTCAGCGAGCCTGACCACCCGATCTGGTTAGTCGCCTCTTATGACAAGTATGGGTTACTGATGATTGGATTAAGTCCAGTTACTATTAAAGATTGTTTTGATAGTACTCTGGCCCATTAAAGTTCTACCAAAAGCTATCCACCCTACGGTGGACTTCCATTGTACATAGCTACATAGCCCCCAGTTCCAAGTTGCTGCCAAGGGTCAGAAGTCCGAGTTACTAGCTCTCCTCCCCCAATGTCTGGTTGTCTATCAAGTCTGCTGTTCTCCCAACAAGTTGAGTCTCTGATGGTTATCTCTCACAAGTCAATCATCTGGGGCCTCGGCGGTGACGACATCCCCTCCAGTTTCTGCAGCAGTATCTGTGCCCCCTTGAATGTCATCTTCCTCAGCGACTTCTTGATGCCGCTCAGCTGCTGCCTCACCTGGGACGTTACCTCAATGTCGTCCAACTCCAGCAGACTGTAACATCACAACATCAGTCATAGGTATTCATAGTTCCGTGTAAAACATCATACATTACACAGTCAATGTAATGATAAGCATATTGGAACCACTATGCCACAGTTATGACCCAATAATAAAAATATGTATGATGTGAGAGGTTTAGGCTATTTGCACAAGCTGCTAGTGACAGGCTGAGTGAATTCATCAAAGCAAACACTTCTGCAATATATTGAGGGGCTAATTAGACAAATCACAACTCTGATCAGTATTTCGGTTATTTCGAGGCATGTCAGCTCAATGTAGGTCAGGAAATCCTGAGGTGAGTGAGTTTAGTTTTAAGCCACTTATAGCAATATTCCAGTAATATCACGGTGGACACCAGAAATGTACTTCACATTTTGTACCCATGTGGGGAATCAAACCCGGGTCTTCAACATGATGAGCGAACGCTTTAACCACTAGGCTAACACACACCACCCCACCCCACCTACAATGTGATGAAGTTGTCTGACACTCACCCAGGACCGTGGGTGAGGTTGCTGCCAAACCCAGAACTATGATTAGAGCCAACAGACTTCTGGCACAGACCATTGTGGTGCTTCTGACAGCCTCATATTGTGCAGAAAGATATATATGTTTGAAACCTCCCCCAACGCACCCATACTCCGCTCCTCCACCTACCTGATGAGGGTGAAGCAGCCCCTGTTGCAGGCCGCCCAGGACTTGAGAGTCCCCTCCACCAGGACCGACAGCAGTATGTTGGAGAACAGCACTGTCACAAAAATCAGGACCTGTTATAAGCAGCGCTACACAACACATCATGACACCGAAAGTAACATTGGGTTGAACATCTCTGATCTCAGTCTGTTCACACTGCTCATAACTTCCTTATTAAAAGAGAAAAAAAGATAAGCTTTTGCCAATGTTAACAAATATAGACAAACATTACCTTTTTACATTTTGTTTAATAAGAACTAGAAAGAAAAAGGAAATAACCATTCTCATTAAAATAAAGCATAATTTGTCCATGAGGAATAAAATTATAGGTAAACTCGCTGGGAACATCACATGATAGGGAACAGAAGGAGTGAGTGAGTATGGTTTTATGCTGCTTTAGCAATATTCCAGCAATATCACACAGGGGGCACCAGATATGGGCTTCACACATTGTACCCAAGTGGGGAATTGAACCTGGGTCTTCGGCGTGACGGGTGAACGCTTTAACCACTGGGCTACCCCACTGCAGGAACAGAAGCAAAAGGAACACATGACAAGGCACACACGAGGGAAGTCACAACATCACAGGGTACTACGTAACCTGGCACATCACACCTGTACACAACCCACCTGCACACTCGTCCTCCGTGCTCCTCTCCTTGTCGTTGAGGATCAGCCTCTTGAGAGTCAGGTGGCCAGCAGGGTGCTCCACCATGTGCTGGTTCTCTCCCTTGGATGCAGAGAACGGCTGTGCAGCGATCTTAGCAATGGCTGTCATCGCATCCGAGGGGTCACCTGACACATTAAGAATGCAGATTTGAATCCGACATCAAATTATGAAAAAAAAGTATCTAAGAGATAAGCCAAAAGTTTATTTTCACAAGTCATCACTGAATGTCATATTGCAGTAGGCAGCTTATTGGGCAGAAAGTTCCAAATGCTGCAGATATTTGTTGCATACCACAAAGTTGAATCCCGTCTGTAATGTACAGATAAACAAACATACTCAGGGCTGTTTAGTCTCAAGGCATTACAGCATGACCAGGGCCTACCTTTAGCATGTGTGATGATGCCCAGTATCATTAGCAGTGCAGCGTTGTTGATGGCGAGGTTGGCAGCGTTGTCAACGATGTACTGTAGAAGGGGTTTGGACACAAAATCTAGCAACTCCCGGTGACGTATGTGACCATCTTTTTTACTGAAATAAAAAGCAACTTACAATATTTCTTGTGCAGATTTACAGCTATAACAGATCAATTAAATGTCCGAAGGCAAATCTGAAATCATATTGATCATTGTTACAGCTCTCTTAACTACCTATAAATCTATATTCATGCAAGTCATACATTTTTTACAGTATCAATGGTTTTATACATCTAGCATTATTCTAGCAATTTCAGAGGAGAAGAAACCACAAAAACACTTCATACATAGTTCCAATGTGGGACAAACCTAGATCGTCACCACCATCATAGTTCATCACTTACGCTTTAGTTGTATGCTCCCCAGGGAGTTGAGGTTGTAAAATAAGGTGCCGTTGAGATTGACATCCAATGATTGAGGGGAAAAAACAAAGTGCTTTGAGCATGCACATTGGATGGACTATAGCACTACATAAATACCATAAAATAATAATAATAATCTACTGCCCATGGAACATGTTTCAAGTACATAATGGATTTCATGTTCTCATCTGATCTATTTCACCCTGTGAAAGTGTTGGGGGATGTCTGCTGACCTGGTGGTGTTGGCGTCCCCACGCTGCAGGATGTGTACGATGTCAGGATGGAAGTGGAGTGGGTCCCGTGGAGACAACAGATACAGCAACACCTTCCGGCCGTACTGGTTCTCCGCTACCTGACTCAAACTCTTCAACAACTCCTGCAACACACAGCTGTAACGTAACAGACTGCCTGGGTGATCAGTATTTAAATAAGACAGCAGAAGAGCAATCTGAGAACTAACTAAAATGAACATTAATTTCAAACATATCAAAAGAATCCTGGAGAACTCAGTTGCATAGAAAATGGGTCACATACTATGCCCCTACAATGAATAAGACCAAGAATTCTTCCTAAGTCCCTTACTATACACATAATCAGAACTGTTACAGTGATGCTCATTACCCCTGTGGAGTGAGTGAGTGAGTGAGTGAGTGAGTGAGTGAGTTTTGTTTTACGCCACTTTTAGCAATATGCCATCAATATCTCAGCAGGGTACACCAGATATGGTCTTCACACATTGTACCCATGTGGGGAATCGAGCCCAGGTTTTCGCCGTGACGAGCGAATGCTTTAACCACTAAACTACCCCACCGCCTCAGTACCCCATGAACATCATCTATAACAAAGTCAGGTCTCCTTTCTTCATAAAGGTCTGTAAATGTCCAAATGTCCAATGTTTGAACAGCTTCGTCATGCTTATTACAGTCAAGGCTCAATAGGATATGTAGCTTATGTACTGACCTCCAGAATGACCTTGGAGACAAACTTCGTGTCGTCCACAACGTCAAAGATCGCCAGCAAGACCATGTGACCATACTCATCCTGGCTGATGCGTGCGATATGGGTCTTGAGACTCTTGAGAATTACCTTCCGATCCTGGGGAGTGTACACATGGATTGGTAATATGATGTACTACATTCTTAATATGGATAATAAAAGCAAGTGAACATTAAATACGCAATGCCTTTAAGAAAGTGGTCAAATATAACTTGATATATTTGGAATTACACTTTCTCAGTAAAGTACTCAACTTCTTAGGGATGAGTTCCATCTTGGCTTCAATCCCACACTCTCAGTGTAAGGCACCGAATCGCCAGAACACAAAGTCAGCTATCTAACCAATCAGCAACCACTGCCTCCAGAAAAAATGTTGTCCTGGGTCCCGTTCCTCAAAGCGCTCATAACGCTATGACAGTCGTAACTCCCATACTTTAACATAGACTTAAAACTTAACCAAACCTGCAGAGGTTTTCAATTCTTTGAAGAGAGTCGTCCTTGGGGTACATATTATGCATTTTCCGGCTGAAAAATGTCCTGTGACAGTTGTATCAATGTTTTTTGAATAAAAAGATTGAACAATAAACTCTTTTATTTATTATACGGACTCTACCTCACGGAGTTACCTCCCTTAGCGCATGCGCACCAACTGGGTAGGCTCCTAGACCCGTATCATCATTCCTTCTGCTGAATTCTTATCAGTGAACAGAATTGCGGGGAGGCGGGAGGCCCTACCCAGGGCGACTCTCTTCAAAGAATTGAAAACCTCTGCAGGTTTGGTTAATTCTTTTCAGAGAGATCGTCCTTGGGGGTACATATTATGCATAAACACAGACTCCCAAAGACCGAGGCCAGGAGGAGGGAATTCTGTCCAAGCACACACAAATATAGCGATCGTATCATGGAAAAAAATTGAACAGACGCCATAACACTCACCTGTCACTTGTCCCAGTTTCGGCTTCCAGAGGCATTATGGGAGGGAACTGACAGGGAGGAATTGTGCTCAAAGATCGACCTCTCTAGCATAATGAGACATTGCACGAAAGTGCGAATGTCAATGAATCCCCACCCACTAAGTGGCTACATGAGAGCACCGTGGGGGGAATGCAAAATACCACTCACTAACGATATAGTAACTCCAGAGAGAGAATCGAAAGGGGTACAGGTTCTCTGAGTGAGCTCACAGTAGCAAACATGTCAATAATGGAATTATTGTACAGTAGCGTCAAAACAAACCAATAAACCAAGACTCACTTTCGGTCAGGGTGGCAGGACACTGTCCACTGGAGAGAACAGTACGGTTAAAGCTCGCGACGATTACGGAATGCGTGTCGAGCTGATAATGGCGATAAACGCGTTTGGCCGGCTCCAAATAGCGGTAGGAGCAGATCTCTTCAATGGGGAGTGCCGATGCAAAAGCTTTTGAGGCTGCTACTGCCCTGACCGAAAGTGAGCCTTCAACCCCTCAGGGGAGGCTTGCCCTTAGCCTGATAAGCGGCACAAATACCACGAGACTAGCCAGCGAGACAAAGTCTGCTTGCTCAAGGCAGACCAGCCTTCCCGCCACCGTAACAACAGAACAGCTGGGTACCCGTGACGGATCCCCTGCGTTCGTTTGATATAGACTTTGAGCGTCTTCACGGACATCCAGCGGGTGAGTGCTCGTAGGAGTGGTCCCCGATGTGGAAGGCTGGGTAAGAGTAGGAAGTTCGATAGGAGCTGTCACATGGAAAGCGTGATCGACCTTCGGTCGGTAAGTATCTGGGAGGCTAATACTGACACGATCCGTGGTGAAACACAGTCAGCGCCCGTCGGACGACATAGCAGGTAAATCGCCGAATCTCTACTACGACCAGATGTTACCGCCACCAGAAAAACAGCTTTCCAGGTCAACAACTGAATGGAAATAGCCGATAGGTGTGAGAAAGTGGGACCGGACAGCCAATCGAGCAGCAAATCGACAAATCCCATGGTGGACTGGTTCGCCTGAGAGCAGGTCGAATCCGTTCAGCGCCAGCGAAAGCTATGAGAGGGTGCTGCCCCAGAAGAGCACCATCGACAGGGGTGTGAAAAGTGGAAATAGCGGTGAGAGTAGCGAATGGTCGGGCCGCCAGGCCTTCTTCCAAACGAGCTTGCAAAAACTCCAATACTCCGACTAAATCCGCGAGAAAAGGGATCTGCAATCCCCTTATCTGAACACCAGCGCGCATAGCGGGGACCACCTATCCTCGTACTGAGCGTTTGTCGAATCCCTTCGAAGCCAGAATTGTGTCTGCAACTGCTGCAGGAATTCAGCGTGCCTCGAGGTTAGACCTGACAGAGGCCAAGAGACCCACTGAATCCGCGGGATTTGGGTGGGCCCGTTCTGAGTGAGAATGTCCGGTCGCAAAGGTAATAGAACAGGAGGCTGGGCCAGAAACCTGAGAATTACCGAAACCAGCTCTGTGACGGCCAAAGCGGTGCCAGTAGCACAAGTAGCCGAGCTGGCTGGGTGGACAGCTGTGAAAGGACACGGGGAATGAGTGGTAACGGCGGAACGCGCCAGAGCACTTTGCCCGTCCAATCCAGCAGGAAGGCGTCGGCAGCCAACGCCCTGGGTCCGGTATCCGAGCAGAACATCGGGTGTCTGATGCGTCCCGCCGGACGCAAACAGATCCACCTCGAGCGACCGCATTACTGGGAGATTACTGTGAATATCTGCCTGTCGAGCATCCACTGCGTGCGGGGCCAGGATCCGGCGAGAAGGCGCGCATCTGCTCGCGACGTTCTCCAGCCCGGGAGATAAACAGGGAGTACCTGACAATCGTACTGGTCGCACCAGAGGAGAAAGTCCCACGCTTCCCGAGGGCGCTGGGGACACCGTGCCTCCCTGCTTCAGGATGTGCGACATGGCCGTCTGGTTGTCTAACTGAAGGCGGACTACCTGGCCACGGACATGCTCTCTGAAGCGCTCGAATACCAACCGCACAGCTCTCAGTTCCAACACGTTGATGTGAAGGTGGGCTTGCGGCTGGACCAGAGTCCGGAAGCCGACAGACTGCCCAGAACACCCCCAGCCCGTGAGGGACGCGCTCGGTCTGAACTGTGAGAGCTGGCGTCCGGATTTTCAAGGGGAACCCCTGGTGAGATTCCCCGACATTTGTCCACCACTGAAAGTGAGGTGTCAACCACTTTCGGGGACTGTGAGACTGCGCTCCAGATCCTCCGTGTGAGTCCACAGCCGAGCCAAAGCTTGCTGTATGGGGCGCCAACCGCGCCACCACACTACAGAGATCGTCGCCGCCATATGGCCCAGTAGACGGAGCCAAGTCCGTGCTGGTGCCTGGGGCTGGGAGAGGAATGAAGATACCATCTCCCGAACTCTGGTGACCGGATCGGGCGACAAGGAAACGAGATCCTTGTTCGTTTGGAATCGCTCCAAGAAAAACCAAGTCCTGGGTGGGTACCAGGTCGGTTCTTGAGGTTGATGATCCACCCCAGTCGAGTTAGAATGTCTATCACTGTGTGAGTAGCATCTTGACTTCGCTGGCTGTGTTAGTGCTCCGAGCAACCAGTCGTCTAGGTAAGGGTAACAACGCCTTCCTTGCGAGGCGAGCTAGGGTAGCTGGGACTAACATGAGCTTGGTGAACACCCTTGGGGCAGTCGATATGCGAAGGGGAGCACCCTGAATTGGTAATACATCCCGTCGTAAGAGAACCGGAAGGTACTGCTTGAACGATGGATGTATGGGTACATGCAGAATCGCATCCTTTAGGTCGATTGGCGTGAGGGCAATCGCCGGGCTGAACAGATGAGATCACCGAAGCGCAGTGTCTCCATCTTGAAGGATGGTACTTTGAGCATGCGATTCAACCCCTTGAGGTTGAGAATCGACGGAACCATACGTCTTTCTTCGGACGCGAGGAAGTACGTGGAATAAAATCCCGCCTGTTCCTCTCCCGGTGGAATGCGCTCGATTGCGGACTTGTCCAGCAGAGCCTGAACTTCGTCGCGCAATATGTCCGCCCTGGCTTGACATGACGGCACCGGAGTGCGACGTATGCCGGTGAAGTCGGGCGGACCTCGCTTCCACAGTGGGAGATGGCCTATGCTGACCGTGGCCAGCACCCAAGCGTTGTTGGTAGCCTTCTCCCATTCCGGCAGGAATAGAGAGAGGCGGCCTCCCACTGGGATATGGGGTAGGAGCGCGTGTGTAGACCCGAGTAGCGGAGCTGACTGGGCGTGACACACGGCTTGAGCGGCAGCCTGATGGGTTAACGGGAGGTCGGGGCAGACCTCCTGCGCCCGCGAAAAGGCTGGGAGCTAGTCGAGGACTGCTCCTTGCCCCTACCCCTTGGCGGACCTGTTCCTCCGCCCTACCCCTACCAAGCGGCGAAGCCAGCCGGCAGACTTCGGGTGTAGGCTGCACCCGGCGGAGGCAGGTGGCACGGAGCGAGGGGCGAGACACCGCTGGTGCTCCAACAAGGCCTTAGAGTCCTTGAAGGAGGTAGCTGCAGCGGCAGCCTCCCCGTATGACCTGCTGGGCCCCGGGAAAGAGGGTCGCTCCCAGACGGAAAGGGAGGGCCAGCAAGGTCTGCTGTGTTGCTGCCGAAAGTACCTAGGCGCCGACAGCCACAGCCTGCATCCCCATGACTGCGCGATCACCTTCGACGCAGCAGACCGCAGCAGAGTCGCCGAGGTGAGCCTGAACTTCCGAAAAGCTGACGGAGCAGCACGACATGCGCGCGACATGTCGCCAGCATGCCCCTCCGCCTCCAGGGCCGACCTCTGAACCGAGGAGAGGTAGGCCTCATGGACCACCACCGCACCTCTGCATCGGCGTCGCGGTGCAGACCTCCTCGTAGGTCCGGTATGCGTCGCCCATAAGAGAGCGCCAGCGAGGGCAAAGGTGGAGTAAAGCCCTTGCCGAAAGCAGCCGAGCTGCTCGAGGAAGCCGAGCCTCCCCAGGGCGGCGGAAGTGAACACACATTCGCCTACAATTGGCACAACGAACAGGGAATCCTCCCCAAGCTGGTAGCGCCCGCCGCGAGATCCGGTAAGTCAAACCGCATCGGGCACCAGACAAGAGGGGATCGACCACGTCCGGTGACCAACGAAGGCAGAATGCGGGCTGCGTCTGCGAGGGTTGCCTAGGGCAAACGCCTTCGCCTGGCAAGCGGAACTCAGTCGAGTCCACGCGAACCAGCAGGCACCGCGGCCTGGGGTAGACCCTCGGCAATTCTCTGCCGGACCTCCCGCAAGGCGGGCGCAAACGGAAGCCCCGCCAGGCTCCTCAACCTCCCCAAGCTCCATTGACTCGGCCCGAGCCCGAGTCCGAGGCTGGGTCTCCTCCGTGAAGAGGACCCTAACCCCGACCCGTGGACTGCCTAAGCTAGGAACCACAGGAAGGGAAGAACAGACAGACGGCTCCACGCCAGCGCCAGCCGGGCGTGGCGTGGACCCCGTCCCGAGTACTGGAGGCAGGCCAGGCAGAACTGGTGCCTCCGCTCTCATGGGGCCGGGTGTGCGCAGCGACCGGAATACCAGGAATACTCAACGGTCCTCTGCGCTAACTCCGAGAGGGACTGGGAGCCCTCCTTCTCTCGAGCAGCCGAAGGCCCGGATCCGCCAGAGGCAACGGATCTACAGACGCCTCAAGGCTGAGGGATCGAGCCGAGCCCGGGCGATCCCACCCGACTTCCGCCCCGTCCGGAGTGGGTGAGGAACTCCTGCCGGAGACCTCCAACCGACTCTCCGAACGAAGGACTTCACGGAGTCCATATGCTGCTGAAACATAGATTCCATTACCGACATGTCAAAACCACTTTCGAAGTGGTAGGAGAGGGAAGGGCCTCGGGATTTTTTCCTTTTTGACGCTCGCTTTGTTTTAGACGGGGACCTCGCGCCAGGTCCCTCCCCGCCTCACGCATCTCACGATAAAACAACGTGATCGGGCCGCCGCCTTTCTGGGCCCGGGGAAAAGGCCAGACAAATAGGGCAGGAATCAGCGTCCGTGTCCCGTCTTCTCGAGACAGGCAACGATAGCTCATGCCTGTCGGCCCGCGGAATTTCTCTCTGTCCACAGACCGAACAGGATGAAAAGGCCTGAAAGCAAACACGCAAAGCATGTAGCTAACAGCGGCCAGCAGCATATAAACACGTAGAAAACATTGAAAAATACGGAAGGTTACCACGGAAAGTAATAGTTGGTTTTAATACGCAATATTACGACCACATGGCACGCTAAACTTCCCGCCATGGCAGAGCAACGCGTCGTAAACCACGGAAAGTTCGCGTATTTTGTATTAATACAAAGTCACAATTATGAAACAACCAACTGTAAAGCTTTACTGTTCCTTGTTTTAGGCAAATAAAGACCATACATACAGGTGGTGTCTCAGACATAGCTTTCTTATTAGCTTTCAGCGCTGTCCGGCTCATGAAGTGCGTTCTATTACAAAACACGTCTGTTCACGGCAGTGACAGCAGAAGGAATGATGATACGGGTCTAGGAGCCTACCCAGTTGGTGCGCATGCTCTAAGGGAGGTAACTCCGTGAGGTAGGGTCCGTATAATAAATAAAAGAGTTTATTTATTGTTCAATCTTTTTATTCAAAAAACATTGATACAACTGTCACAGGACATTTTTCAGCCGGAAAATGCATAATATGTACCCCAAGGACGATCTCTCTGAAAAAGAATGTCGTATCGCTATGACAGTCGTAACTCCCATACTTTAACATAGACTTACAACTGTCGTAGCGCTATGATCGCTTGGAGGAACAGGCCCCTGGATGGTACACAAACCAAACAAGTGCTCGTGCTGTATTTTAATGTGAAAGGGTAATCACAAATAAAGCTATAATACCAGTGAATACTATTTGATACCAATGACAATAACATAATCAAGCCTAGGGCAAAGTAGCTATACAATCATTAGTTACATATAGCTATACAATCATTAGTTACATATAGCTATACAATCATTAGTTACATATAGCTATACAGTTACATAACCAGCTTTCATTCTTGTCTCATTTAAATGACTGAACAACACTGACCTTGACAGTGCCGAACCAGACGCAGTTCATTGCGACCCTTGACCCATCCCGCGTGTGTATCATTGTGATCAGCTGCTCCCGGAGACACTCGATCATTTCCTGTGGAAAAATGTCCGCACCATCACTCAGTGAAAGCAAGCTTCTTGATTTGATTGATAGTCGGATTCTGCATGACTTGCACTGTTTACTTAAAATACTGATCATAAGTCATGATAATCGGAGGACAATGTGTAAGACTCTCAGATTGTGATTACAAGACAATGCAACAACATGGATTCAATACACAATGCCATTTAGAAAGTGGTCAAAAGTAACATATGTTATATTTGGGATTACACTTTCTTAGCAAAGTACAGATTCTAGTACTTTTGTGGGGTTGAGTCCCATCCGGGATTCGAACCCACACCCTCAGAGTCAGGCACCTAATTGCCAGCACACAAAGTCAGTCGCCTAATCCGCTCAGCCACTGCGGCTTCCACTGACCTCCTTGACTGTATTGACCTCAGTTCATGAAGTATTGCAATACTCCATGCACTTTACAGTTGAGCACACACTGAGATTTACACATTAGTGAGTTTGACACTGCTTTGTAACAATATTCCTGACTCATCACAGCAGCTGACACTCAACACACATTAATGAGAGAGTGATCCGAGTTGTACTCTTCAGGGACATCAATTGCCAAACACCAAGAACGGGACTTACGGTGTGCCCATGTGGAGAAGAGAATCCGAGTCCTCAATTTGTTGGAACAAACCTAAAACCACCTCCCGATTCTAAGACCCTCTCTAATGTAAACTTACTGATCTCATCTTGTCAGTGGCATAGTGGAAGAAGTCATGGAAGATCTTGTGCACCATGGAGTGAGCCAATATGTCCCTGTGGGCAGACAACATCAAATCTTTAATAACAAACATCAAAACAATGCCTGAAGATTATCCAACACATTTTAGTAAACGTCTTGAAGTTTTACTGAATTAGAGTGAGTGAGTGAGTGAGTTTAGTTTTTACGTCACACTCAGCAATATCCCAGCTATATTGCGGCCGTCTGTAAATAATATAGTCTGGACCAGACAATCCAGTGATCTATAGCATCAGCATCGATCTCAGAATTGGGATATAATGACATGTGTCAACCAAGTCAGCGAGCCTGACCACCCGATCCCGTTAGTTGCCTTTTACGACAAGCATGGTTTACTAAAGATCTTCACGGGTACTGAATTACAGACAGAATGTATAATCTACACCTACTTGTCAATGAGAGGGAGGAGAGCCTCCTTCATGTTACTGAGGATCATGTCCTTCTTGTCTGGCTGTTCCAGCATGATCTGTTCCAGGGACTTGGTGTCGTGATTCTGTCACAGAAACATTCTCAGTCAGCACATGTTCATATACAGCAGCCAAACACAAACATCACCTCCCTAGCATCACTTGTCAACACCATTCATTGGGTGAGTGAGTGGGTGAGGGGGGCGAGTGAGTGAGTGAAGATTTACGCCGCTAAATATTCCAGCAATATCACAGCGGGGGGACACCAGAAATGGGCTTCACACATTGTACCCATGTGGGGAATCAAACCCGAATCTTCGGTTTGACAAACAAACGCTTTAACCACTAACCCACCACCCATAACCCCGAATCATCTTGTAAGAGAGGGTACTACTGACATACGATCTATACTTGTGAAAACGAATTATCACGATTATCAGATACATTGTGTGTGCAGACCACAAAGTTTGCATGTATACAATTAAAAGTAATTGGTTTTTGGTCTAGAATCTAAGCATATAATCAAAATAATTTTGTGCTGAAGTGAGAGATGTGCTACTCTAGATTATCTTACCGTACCTTAAACAAAGTGAAGCTTGGTCCATAGAACTCCTCCATCATAGACAAGCGCTGTGGAGCGTTGCGTAGTCATTGTATGCAAATTCCAAGATTTCCACCGCTTCCTGCACAAACATGAAGGTAAATACACTGACACAACATACACAGGACAAACAGTGTGTGATGAAACACCGATCATGGAATTTTAATACACTACCAGATCAATTCACCGAAGAAATGGACAGATGAAGGGAGGGGAGATGGCATGGTAACCACTTCTAATTTCAAGTTCTTATCCTAAAACCTTATGTATGAGCATTCTATTTAAAGGTACCTATGAATGCGATTGTAGTATATTTCTCCAATTTTCTTATAAACAAGAAGACAAAGTCATCAACATCCCCCACAATGGCAAAATACTCTTCATGAATATGTCTACAAGTTATGATGATGTCAAATGTTTTGGCGTGTATATAGCTAAGTGGAAGGAGAGAACTGAAAAGTTTAAAAGTTCTGCTCCAGAAAGGAGCACTACCACCAAATTCAGTTGAAGCCAAAATTGTTGCCATGGAAATGCAAAAAAAAAATTTTATTCAGAAAACTAAAACTACCAAAAGGCACCAGTTCACCACTAGACCTACCTATATGTATGAAATTTCGTGATGAAACAGTGAACAGTTTTTAAGTTCTGCTCCGGAAAAGAGTACTACCACCAATTTCAGTCTAAGTCAAACTTGTTGCCATGGAAACGCAAAACATATTTTATTCAGAAATTTAAAACTACCAAAAGGCACCAGTAGACCACCAGAATTGCTGATGCCCCTAGTACATCTGCACAATATGGGCGACTCAGTAGACTAACTGAAGAAAGCAACAATCAAGGATGATAATTACAGAAACCTGGCAACACATGGCAAAAGAAAGTAACTTACCCTGTGCCTTATCAACTTCCGAACATTACCATGGAATGTCTTGAACATAAAGTTACGCTGTTGTTTGGAGCTGAAAAGGAAAAAGTTTTAACAATGTAGAGCAAAATATTACTACAATTAATTTCCATAAAATAAATCTCCTTGGAACAGACAATATGACCGCACTTGCTCCCAGTAACACAATTTTTTATTTTTATTCTTGTTTAATCCCGCTCTCAGCAATACTACAGCTAGGTGGCGGCGGTCTGCAAATATTGAGTCTTGTTGACCAGACAATCCAGTGATTAATAGTAAGAGCAACTGAGATACGAAGACATGTGTCAGCCAAATATGCAAGCCTGACCATCCAATACTGTTAGCTGCCTCTTTCAACAAGTTATATGTATGCATGGCACAGAGAGACACATTACAGTTACTTACCCATACTTCAAGATTTTCCTGATCACAAACTTGGCATATTTTGATTTGCACATTGAAACTATTTCATCTGGAACAGAAACAATGAGAAAATGTGAAATCATTTTTTTTGTATTACGATTAAAAAGGAAGTAATGTTCACGGACTGAAATTCCATTTATCAGAATGTGACAATATTCAAGCAAACACTGACGGTAATACACAGCCCATTTCTATGTCATGTGACCTCTAGTTAGAACTCCTTACACCTCAACACTGCTATTGACATACATATTCAACCATTGTCGTGAACAGGAAAAAGCAATAATATGTATAGAGATACTGACTCAAGTCCACAATGCAACATGCAGTTTTCTACCTATGTGCTAGCCTGAAACAACTACATTGAGCTGATGATGAGCAATCACCAATGTAGGTAGTCCTTGTGAGGGTGATTACTACAAATAGGAACTGAACAACACGATTCCTGTTTTTTAACACGACATTCATGTCCTGATAACACAAACCACATTTGGTTTCCCTTCTATAACGGTTGCTGAGAAAATCTATTCCCATTGGGCATGATGTGCACTAGGTCAAGAAATGCATGACAAGGGCCATAACTCTGTAACACATTGTAACACGGTTTCCGTTTTCGAACTCCATCAAAGCATTTGTGTCCTGAAAATGCATACCAGATTTGGTTTCCCTATCTATGACAGTTTCTGAGAAAATCTGTCCCCATCATCTCGGACGGACACACAGAAGGACGGAGCTCAAACCCATATAATAAACTGATAGAAGAGGTAAAGACATTATTGTCTCATTCAAGTAGGACCAGCAAGAATGATGTTGGCAGACAAGGAATCTTAATCTCATGTCTTTATATATCAATTTTTCAGATGACACTTCGAGTGTGATTATCTACGTATCTGATATTTACCTTTAATCTCCTCCATGACGGACGTCCTGTGTTCAGGGTTGCCGTACTGCACCAGACACTGAACCACACGTGCTGTGTCATGAGCCATGGACATCTGCAACACAGCCATAGTCAGTGAGTGAGTTAAGTTTTATGCCGCTTTTAGCAATATTCCAGCAATATCACGGCGGGAGACACCAGAAATGGGCTTCACACATTGTACCCATGTAGGGAATCGAACCCGGGTCTTCAGAGTGACGAGCGAATGCCTTAACCACTCTTCAGTAACCCATGCTTGTCGTAAGAGGCGACTAACAGGATCGGGTTGTCAGGCTCGCTGACTTCGTTGACACACGTCATCGGATCCCAATTTCGCAGATCGATGCTCATGCTGTTAATCACTGGATTGTCTGGTCATGACTCGATTATTTACAGACCGCCGCCATATAGCTGGAATATTGCTGAGTGCGGTGTAAAGCTAAACTCACTCACTTGACAAGCATAGTTTGCTAGCGACATATTTTCGTACTCTGAATCTCCTGGGATAACGACAAGATGGAATACTCTATCAGACACATAATTAAAAGGGATATTATCCATCAATTATTAGGATCTAACTTGTTTGTTGTTTCATACTGCAGTCGGCAACAATCCACCAATATCACGGTGGCCTGTGAATAACTGAGTCTGTGCCAGGCAGTATTCCACACAGTATGCGTGTGATGACACACATTCAGCTAAGCTGTCAAACATCTGATCCAATTCATTCACCTTTTCCCACAAGCAATATTGTGGTAGATACCTGTGAAACCTAAGTCACCACAGGGTACAGAGAGAGGTGTTGAAAGGATACAGCTGACTCGAGGAACTAAAGCTTAAAAACCAGTAGTTAATAATACAAAGGCCAGTCCTAGCTGTCAGCCACAGTGGCAAACTACACAGATACTTGTCCAATAACAGAAGGTGTTTACTCACTTCATGCACCTTCCCCCTGACCATGTTGAACACCTCCTGGCACAGTTTCTGTCGCTGGTCGTCAGGTAGGGCATGCCTGAAATACACACAAACATGTCATGGACCATCATGATTATGTCATTTGAATGAGTGAATTTAGTCTTCGGACGCTTTTAGCAATATTCCAGCAATATCTCGGCAGGGATACAAGAAATGGTCTTCAGACAATGTGCCCAGGTGGGGAATCGAACCAGGTCTTCAGCATGACGGGCGAACACTTTAACCACTAGGCTACCCTACATTTTTAGCATTCAATTAGGCTTCAAACCAGATTAATTGGTGAAAAAAACATGCATCCTCCATCAAGTCCACTGCATCCACTAACCAATCTTGCTCGTTTAAAAGTTGTACACTTACAGTATGACCAAACTAAAAGTGATATGCAGTGAAGTGGGGTTTAACATCTTGTTCAAGATCATTATCATGTAGTGAGGTGAGGTGAGGTTTAACATCGTGCTTGAGAATATTTTGCTCATATGACGAAATGCATGCGTGTGTATGTGTATGTGTATGTGCGGCTGCTTGTACTAGCCCACACTTAAGCTGGTTTTATAGTGCTAGCCCACTGAGATACCACGCCGCAGTGAAGCATGAATACCCCACTCAGACACATTATACTGACTCTGAGCCGACCAGTCCTTGTTGTACCCATTGATGCTGAACGCCAGGCAGGGACCAACAAGTACCATATTTTAACGTCTTTTGGTATGACGCGGTCGGGGATCGAACCTGCGACCTTCCGCTCTCTGGGCGGACGCTCTAACCACTACACCACGGAGGCGGATCATTATCATGTAGTGACGTGCATACATGTGTGCATATGTGTATTGAGCTGCTTGTACTAGTCCAGATTGATGCCAGAGATAGCATGCCGCAAATCATGAACTGACCTCCGCATATCCTCCCACAACTTCTTGGCCTTCATGATTAGGTCATAGTTGTTTTTAGTCATCTTCCTCTGTTGTCTCCTCTCCTTCCATGACATGTCTTTGTCTTTAGGTTTCTTCATGGCAACTGGAACACATCAGTAGGTATAGACTGGTACTTGACCAAGATGAACACAAAACTAACAAGAATACAAAGTCATCAATATCCACCGCAACGGCAAAATACTCTTTATGAATATGTCTACTAGTTATGATTATGTCAAATGTTTGGAGTGTATATAGCAAAGTGGAAGGAGAGTATTGAAAGATTTTTAAGATCTGCTCCAGAAAGGAGCACTACCTTCAAATTCAGTTGAAGCCTAACTTGTTGCCATGGAAATGCAACAAGATGACATCCTCATAGACAAAGCCTAAGTCACGTTTCCACAGAAACCACAAAAAAATAAATTTACCATCAAATGGCACATCTATGTTTGACATGTGTACCAAGTTTGATGAAGCTAGCATGTATAGTTTAGGAGATCTGCTCCGGACAAGATGACATCCTCATAGCCACAGCATAAGTTACGTTTCCATGGAAAACCGCAAAAAAATAATAATTCATATCTGGGTCTAACCCCCAAAAGGCACATCTAGGGATCATGGTTGACATGTGTACCAAGTTTTGTTAAGCTATCACGAATAGTTTAGGAGATATGCTTCGGACAAAGTGTGATGAACGGACTTCATTGTTGCGGGGGATAACAAAGATATAAGCATGTGAAAGTTAACAGATGGTTCCAACAGAGTGAGCATGTAGATATTCACATAACTATATTACACACAGCAACATAGTGCTAATGACAGTGCTGATTTACATTCACATCTGTCAAATATGTTTTATCTCATTAAGTGACTTTGTCATGTCACAAGATTACATATTTGTATTTTCTTGCAAGACTTTTATCATTTTTCATGATCTTACTCTGAAAAATACTATCATTGAGGCAGACAGAAAGTAATTCTGAATGACAATATTGTATTCATATTTGGGGATAAGATTAGCATTTCATCACAACACATATTTTCTACCATGAATTTGGGAACTATTTGATTTTGATTGGTCAGTTATAGTATCAAATCAAGATAACCTCTGAAAAAACCCCAGTCCATTTGGCAACTGCATCATAGATGAAGACATATTATGGTCAAAAACACTAAAATAATCAGATGAAAAATTGTGACTTAAGGGTGAGTGTTTGGGGTAATAGGTCCTCAAGTACTGACTTTGTTGACCTGTTTCAGCCTTTACTCAACAGTCACACTTACTGACAGGCACACTTACACACATAGTATTATCAAGGTACACAAGCAGAAACTGACCAAAACTTCACTTACTTGTGCTCTCGTCTGGAAGTGATATATCTAACTTGCGCTTGCGGCTCTCTCTACTTGTGTCCAATTTGCCTTTACTTTTTAAAGATTTTAGGCGATTTGCTGCATTCTTCAGCTGAACCTGTAACATTTGCAAAACAAAAGGTAGTCATCAATTCTGTGATAAATAGCCGAGGAATAAAATACATCACTTCATGAAACCAAACAATTCTGGCATTAACACAAACCACAGCATGAACAAAGCAGCAAGAAACACACACCTTTATTGACTTCTTTCTTTCGACAGGTTTCCCTTGTGTTATAGGTTTGTTTTCCTTCGTTGGAGAGTCTTTTTTCACAACTGGAGTGGGGACCTCTTCTATAATTGACACCTTGCTCATCTTCTTGGCATGGAAGGACCTTTCCGCTCCATCAGGAGCCCCACGAGCATGGTTCACAGCCTTCTCCCAGGTCACATCGCCACGTCCTGCACGAGGTTTCTTTAAGCGAGACAATGTGGAATTGACTGTGACATCTGGGACAGCCATTATAGAACTTATCTGACTCAGAGTATCGGGTGTCATTTCTTCTAAACTACTGGAACTGACATTGGAAAAGTTTGAACCTTGTGATCTCCTCCTCATGTGTTTTTCTTCAATTTCGGCATATGTGTCGTCTTCCGTTTGTTTCTTCTTTCTTTTCCTCAGTGTGGACAAACCGCTGTCATCTGAGCTTGGATGGGCAGTTGATAATTTCACCTTATCTTTGTATATTATGCTGTTGCCTTCTGGGTTCCCTCGCATGCTCCGACCTGCCTTAGGGGTAGTCGGTTTCTTCATTCTCCGTCTCAGTACAGGTGTGTCCATCATGTCGTAGTCATTCATTTTGAGTTATGCACTCATTCTGAAAAATACAACAACAACAAAACAATAGCATCACTTTCAAGTAATTCTAAATTATATAGTTACACCTCAGACTAGGTCAGATATAACAATAAGATACCTTCAAAGTTTCAGTCTGCATTAAGGGCAGTGGGATAGCCTAATGGTTAAAGCGTTTCACTCGTTACATTGTTAAAGCGTTCACTCGTCATGCCGAAGACCTGCGTTCAATTCCCCACATGAGTACAATGTGTGAAGCCCATTTCTGGTGTCCCCACCGCAGATATTGCTGGAATATTGCTAAAAGCGGCTTCAAACTAAACTCACTCACATTGTCTGCATTAGGCACTGAACCTCACGAAAAGCACTGAAAGGAGTAGGCCTTTTTGTAAACAATACTGCAACTCAATTTCACAAGTTTAACAGATTTTTAGCAGCATTCTGGACTAATGTTTACATTGTAAAGGGTTTTAATTGTATTAATTATACACAAAGTGAGCAAAATAATTCTGTCACATAATCAAGCCATGACCTCCATTCTGGGTAGTAACTTTCCGAAATATTTTCATAAGGCTCGAATTTATAACGCATCCACTCTGTGGAAGGAGGGTATCATCAGTATATTGCTGCAATATAAATTTCTTTAAACAGGTTGGAAATCTACCGATCGGCCTATATATTGCTTTAGGCTGATCGGGCTATATTTTACCATTATTATTTTCATTTCACAAACTATCAATTTCCGCACGAAATGGTTATATATGATCATAGAGATGAATAGTTATTGGACCTCCTCAGCTTGAAAAAAATAAGTTTTTGGACAAAATGGAAATTTATATCATGTTCAGGAAAAGATGTTTCATTTAAGAACACAATTGTGCACAGATTTTGGAAAGACTTACGCCCGTATCCCCCCTTAAATTTCATTTTAGTCAAATCATATCACCTGAATATATATTCCTCATCTGATAAGGATGATTTTTAACATGTTTCATTAATTGTATTTTAAACATACTGAAAGACATATCCAACCTCTAACAATGCCACTCAAATAAATCTTTCCTACTCATTAAAATTTAGGGGGGATACGTGCGGAAGTCTTACCAGATTTTCATTTTGAAAACTAAAACTGAATATATCTATGTCACTAATTTTCAGTGAAAATTGTCAAAAATATTATAAACTTATATTTAATTAGCAATTTCCAAACTCCTTTATTATATGATGAAAATGCTCAACAAGAGTTTGAATGAAAACCGTAAGACATCAAAACTTGAATGATGATGATTTATTTGATAAATATCATAATTATAGGCCAATCGACCTATAGCAAAATAGGCAGAACGGCCTATTATAGGCCAATCGGTAGGTTTCCCCAACCTGTTAAAGAAAGGTTGATCTATCTGTGAAGATGGTATCATAAGCACTGACACATTCACAACCATATTTTGAGTGGCTTCATGAGTTCATTCATCTCACTGAGCTGGTCAATCCGACAACGATACTTTCATTCTCACCGATGTCCTACTCAAAAATGTTTGTAAAGGTGATGCGCTGAACGTATTTTATACATTAATTTCTTTCAACGTGCACAATAGAGTATTTCTTCAAGAATTCATTACTTACTAATTTTCGCAAATAGCAAAAACAAAACCACGTTTTCGCGCTTACGACTCCTTTACGGTAAGTTGAATACGAATTATGAAATCTCCTAACAGCGACAAAAAGCATCGCAATACTTCAGGTGCTTCAAAGTACATTGATGTTTGGGAGCTTATATTTTAACATCAAAATCAGATTATATCTAAGATTAATATGTTTGGTCCACGTGTTTCATATTTACCTTACCATTCGGGGAGCTATAATCAAACCGTGAGGAAAGGAAATTGGTATTTTCCTATTGCGACAACCGACAACGAATCTTGGACAACATAAACTTCCGGTTCAAGGGCTCGACATGATATCAAAACTTCTTAGGGTAATCATAATGGGCCCTCCTGGCTCAGGAAAGGGCACAATATCACAGAGAATCGTGAAAGACTTTGGCTTGAAGCATTTGTCCAGTGGCGATCTTCTGAGAAAACAAATCATGGAACGGACAGGTTCTGTCATTTTTTCTGAGCCTGAAACTCGATCAGGGAAACTTATCGCTTACTGCGATAGCACAAAAAGTTCTGTTATCAGTATAGTTTATTAACGACACTGTATTTTAAAGGTATATTATGAGAGTGAAGTCGATGGCGGGACTATTAGTAGGCCATGTGCATGACCTGGGGCAGAATATTGGTCTCTATTGGCCGGATAAATCCCTGTGTGCATTGTTGATATTATTTTCACTGAGACATACCAAGTATTTTAATTTAATATGACATCACATCTGAATAGTCACTGAACACTAGCTGTAAAATATATAAAATGACATTTGTTTCAGCTGCAGGGATTGAAGCCACGAAATACATTGATCAAGGTCAGCTGGTTCCTGACCTCACAATGGTCAATCTTATCTCTAACGAGCTGGAGAAAATAGAAAGTCACAGCTGGCTGCTAGATGGTGAGCATATATATTCTAGAAAGACAAGATAGCAAGATTTTGATGAGTGAATGCTCTTAGCCTGAATTAGGGCTAAGCATGTCATTAATATTTTTAGGTGAAAGTTTGTCTAGTCTGAAACTATAGTATGAAGAAAGGAAATGAAAAACTGGTAATATATTATAAAGCCTGAATGTCAACATTTGCCAGATTCTTTGCTGTTCAAATATTAGACTTTGTGAAACACATGCCAGTAATGATGTAATCATACTCTGGATCCTATTGCAAAATGTGATCGTGCACAGGTGTACCTGTGAAATTTAACATAGGACTACATCATCCTTTGAAAATGTTTGGCTGAGTAGAAAGTTTTTTCTTAAACTTAAGAAACTAGGAAATCAAGAAAGGGCTATGCACATTATGGAATCAAACTAGAACCTTTGATAGGACAGGTGAAAATTTTAATCACGGAGCTGCCCCATGTCATAAGTGATAATGATGAGCTCAAGTGCATTCTTTGTGTTTCATGTTGCAGGGTTTCCTCGGACAGTAGTTCAGGCTAAAGAACTGTTAGAACGAGGCCCTATTGATTCTGTTATCAATCTTAATGTGCCCTTTGAAGTTATTATTGACCGCATCAAGGGTCGGTGGACACATGAAGCCAGTGGTCGCATCTACCATACAGAGTTCAACCCTCCCAACAAAGAGGTACACAGAGTTTGATATTGCAGCAACAATTTCTTAAAGGATGGTTCCAGTGGGAAGCTGTTTGATCAATCAGAACGCTGCTCTACTTAATTGATAAATACCATCTTGTCTCGTAACTGTATGATAAGATGAAGAGACATAGTGATCAGTTCCAGTTTCTGAGTCATATATAATCAAACCAACTTTTAAGCTGTACATGATGATGAAAAATTCATATTAGTAGTTGAAGCGTTCACTCCTGAAGCCATAGACCTGGGTTTGATTCCCTGCAGAGGTACTATGTGTAAAGCCCATTCCTGGTGTCATCAGCTATGATATTGCTGCAATTTCACTAAAAACAGCATAACACCCTTCCCACTAACTCTTAGTTTATATCTGGTCGAAACTGGAAAGTGAGCTTTCTGTTCTTGGTTGAAAACATAAGGCCAAGAAATTATTGTTTTACAGTGTATGCAAGAGGCACAGTTTACTGCAACCTCATTTTCTGTGGGCGATCATGGACGTATTGTCGTCTATTTATTGCTGGTTGTTGGATTAGTACTACTTGTGTCATTTGCAGAGTTGCATCCCTTGGTCTAGATTAATCTCTTTGTCTCTTGTAGGGTATAGATGATATCACAGGAGAGCCCCTGATTCAGAGAGATGATGACAGACCCGAGACAGTGAGAAAGAGGCTAGAGGGGTATCAACACTCCACCCAACCAGTACTACAATTCTTCAAGTAAGGCCACTTCAGAGGAGTTCTTTATTCTTCAAATATTTCCCATTTAGCATTCAGTAAATCTGGAAATGGTTCTATTCTTTCAGAACAGTGGTTAAGAAGGATAGCCCAGTGTTTAAAGCGTTTGCTCATCATGCCGAGCCTGGTTCCAACCCAGGAATATTGTGGAATGTCCATTCCTGGTATGCCCTGCTGTGACATTGCTGCAATATTGGTAAAAGTGGCATAAAACCGCACTCACTTATTATATATATTATATCAAGACTGTTCAAATACGAATATTTAAATGCCCCACCACAAAGTTGAAGGGGATATAGGATTGGTGCTTTAACTAATATTTCGACCATTTGATATTTCATGATGAGAGTTAGCACAGATATATATTTTGTTCCTGATTGAGACTATGCAAATATGTTTTACATATCACCAGTGAGGGATCCCAAAAGGTCATGCATGTCTCATCAGTATACTGACATGCTTAAAGCACACCAACTATATACTGACTTTATACAATTATAGACTCTTGTAGAGGTCAATATCGGTTTTTATTGACCAGAGTAAAACAATATCGATATTGCTTTTCTCAGGTCAATAAAAACCGATATCGATCTCTACAAGAGTCTATAATTGTTTTATTATATAATGAAAGAGAAACGGGTTTTAACATAAACTTTTAATGCACACACTGTGCCATCTATCAGAGTGATCTGATTGGCTGAAAAGTGGGGGAAGCCCCTTCGTACGGGATTCCTTGTCTATTTTTAGTAACCCAAGTCAATATCGTAATTTATCAGAAAACTCAAGTCAATATCGTGTTTTGTAGTCAATCATGTGACGGTCTTTTGACCAATCGTGGTATAGGAAAAATACTACCTATATAATAATGTATGGTACAGTCCCCCTCTGTGATATTGCTGGAATATTGCTAATAATGGCATAAAACTAAACTCACTGACACACTATTACAGTACACCCACGGTATACTGACTTATATCAAGTACACCAACAACATTATGATTTACATAAAGTACATAGATATACTGAGTTAAAATTATTGCACCAACAGTACACTGACCTGAATCTTTCTATTTCAGTGACAAGAAACTACTGAATGTGTTTACAGGGAAGTATTCTAATGAGTTATGGCCCCTGGTTCATGACTACCTGGCAACCAAGATGACACCAGTGCAGTACACACGCTACAAATAACAGCAACCATCTCCATGACAACAGCAGTGGTGCTAATGTATCACTATGTAGGCAACTGTTCAACAATGTCTGATATTGCAAGGGGATGTTTCAAAATGTGAAGTACATTCTAGAAGATATGCTGTGAATACACTGAGAAAGTGTAATCCCAAATATAACATGTATTGCAAAGATATGCTGTGTAAGGTACTTTAATAGGTCAATGATTTATGAACTATACAAGATGATTAGTTACTAATTTATAAAATATTTCCCCCAAATAAATGAATGTGGTGAATATGATCTAAAAATGTGATAGTTTATTGAAAAGACAATTAACACTCGCCAATTAGCTTTAATATTAGAGTGCTGCCTTTAACAACAATCAATCTAAAGGTAACGCACATCAGGTAATAGCAGATTTCATCAAACAACATGGACAGATATCTTGAAAGGATATCTTATCACTAATGGAGACTGGCACCTCTAATTCACTGTATGAAAGAGAGTATGTCTTGTGTCTAATATTGTGAGGAGCCTGTTGTTATTCTCCTGTGAATATTTTAACATTGATCTTGTGAAGTATACATCTGGAGATAACCGACAGATTTTAAAGGTGTGTTTAGAAATTGTTTCTCCAAATTTAACTGTACATGGATTTATGTTTTATTATACAAGATATTTTATATGATTCATTTTTATACAGAGCTGTGTTGTTAATGTATTATGAATTGTCTCTGGTTTTAAATCAGACAAAGTAATCAAATATGTCAAACATACAAATTAATGGCATTGCTTGTGCATGGTGTGAGATATCAATAGAATCCAAACCAAACTCAGCATTACGTTATCCCAGAAATCAGCTGTTGATCAGCTGGGTAACCTATATCAAGTTGCATGTGTTGTGTTTAGCTTACCAGTACTTATAATGTAATGTACCAGTAGGTTTTTCTGCATGCTGCCATTCATCTGTCACCTAGACATTAATGGTCATGCTTTGTAAATTACGTAATTATGTGTAATTTGGTCTTACGGAAATATGTTTTAACTGTAAATCTATACTGGGTGTGATTGTCAAGGCCATTTTACTATTGCAATCATATTGGTGCTGGTATGAGTATGGATCTAGGGTCTCTGTGTTTTTCGACATTTCACCTTTCTATCTTAATCACAAAAAGATACATAGTTCAAGAACTCAACATTGATTGGTTTTGTAGCTTTTCATCTTATATCCGAAAAACGATGCTCAAAAGGTCATAGTTGCACTTCTAATTCAGCTTTCCAATTCAAGATGTTGGCATTTCCTCATGTTTTGGTTGTTATGTTGAAATACAGAACTACAAAAGACTGGGAATAAGAATTAGTGGTGGACCGATTAATTGAAATAATCGAAGATTGGTCGCAGTGACTAAACGACCAAGCAATCGATCATGTTTTCTCATAATCGAACACAAACAATTCTAGAACACTTGTTTTCATTAACAGTATTTTTCACAAGGTTGGTTTTGTCTGTTACATTTCATAAGCACTACAAGCTCGTTCCAAGTCATGATTGAATTTATCTTAAAGACTCCAAGACTTTGATGTTCCTCCATACTAGTCATCCTTTAAAGATGTGAAATTTTGCCAAAACCCCCAAGAACTACATGTTGTTTTTTCCTTATTTTTGTGTGCATTAACACATTTCATAAATGACGCTAACCAATTATTTTCGATGATTGATCGGTTGTAATGAACCAATCATCAATTATGAGATTTTAACCAATTCCCAACACTAATAAGAATACTAATGAGCATATCTATAATACATCCAATTCATACCCTAAAGCATATTCAAAGTGCTACATTTACCCACAATGTCGATTTTTATGGATCTTAACAGCTGTAACAAATTTGCATCCTCAGTGCATACCAATTGAAAATAGAGGCAAATGATTTCTAACATCTACACTCAGTAACTGTTGACAGATCCATATAGATTCTAATTGTACATAACCTGCTGTTCATGTCAAACATATTGAAGTATTATGTGTTGGTGATCGTTGAACTTTACACATGAATCGTATAGACTTTGCTCAGTGAGATCATGCAATCAATCAATACTTTGATAATAGTGGTGATCAATAATCAATGATGTCCAGGTAAGCTACAGACTTACAGGTATTGTTCTGTTCCTCTGTGAGGTAAGGTGTGCATGTCCCCATGTGTCTTTCTGCAGTTGAAACCCTTTTGTTGAAGTAATAATTTTTCCAACTGTATTACACCTCCATGGATGAGTGTTTGGAAGTAAGATAAATATGGCCTTGTCTTATCATTACTGTTAAAGGTTTGTAGGGTTTTTGGAATCAGATATACTTTTCAAAACAAGTTAGAGAACGCCAATAATTGGAGTGAGTGAGTGAACATTGTCCCAGTTATATCATGGCCTGTCAGTTTAATGTGTGAGGAAAGCTGGAACAGATGCAAGACCGAGACATTTACCACTTTGCTGAATCCCATAGGTTACGGTGTGGGATAACCTGAGACATTTACCACTTTGCTGAATCCCATAGGTTACGGTGTGGGAAAATCCGAGACATTTACCAATTTGCTGAATCCCATAGGTTATGGTGTGGGAAAACCCGAGACATTTACCACTTTGTTGAATCCCATAGGTTATGTTGTGGGAACACCACAAGTCCACTTTGTTGAATCCCATAGGTTATGGTGTGGGGAAACCCAGAAACATGATCTGGGTGAATTGGGATTCAAACCGAGCATCATAGGTTTCTGGACGTTAGTTAGACTAACGCTTCTTTTCTCTCTACCCCCCCAGTACATGTGTACAAAATTGCTGACCCCCTTCCTCCCAAGAACAAAATGGGTGACCTCCCCTTAAAATCATCATCATCACACACACACACACACACACACCCCAGCCATATATTATGAACGGTCCCAAAACCACTTCATTTTTTATGAGGATACTTTTATCTTTCCATGATGCAAAAAACTGATTTTCGTAACATGTAAAGTGTTTATTGGAAAAGAATGACATGATTATCCTAATGAAATGTTCAGTGGTATATTAGTGTTACATGTATTAATATAATTATTATGCACGTTTGTCATACCAATGTCATTGTTTCATACTGGTTCATTGGTGGTACTGTCAATCATGGTTGTGTTTTAATTGTTGAAAGGTGCTCAAGTAAATTTCTTTTGAAAAAATATTGCAATAATCCTGCGTAAATATTTCTTATTTTGCTCAGTAATTGGACCAGTTTGTTGTGTTTCTTTTCCAATATTAAGTTTCAGATTTTAACCCAAGTTTACACACTGATAAGTGATTGTTGTTGTAGTATGTGTATTAGGTCATATTTTACTGCAGCCTGCATTTGATTATATACATGTAGTTGTTTTTAAGTGGTTCTTAAAACACAAGAGGAAAAGACACCCACAATGCTACTAATAATGATACCTAACTTTCTTCATGTGTTCAGTGTATGCCATTGTCAGAGCTCCAGATAAGATTTAGCTCATGTGGGAACTGTACCCACTGTATTTTTTTGGAGTGGGTATTATGAATGTTGAGTGGGTATTTCATTTTCCGCTACCCACTGCTTTCAAATATGTGCGTATTTCAGTCACTTTACTCACGTAAGTATTATGTCATTGAGCAAGTTTACTGAGCAGGTATGTTCTGCCTTATGTCATACCTAATCAAAACCAACTTAAATATATAATGGAAATGATTTCATGAAAAATCACTCATCCTATACTGACAGTACAACACTTGTCCTATACTAACAGTACAACTTGATAGCAATCAATGTCTTTTTCATTACGCAAGCGAATTTTATAAATATATTCGGTATGCATTTGTTTTAAACTTTTTTCGTATCTACCTTTTAAATGCTGTAATTGGTACGCAACAAAGTTTTTTCAATGCGTAATTCTACGCGTATTTTACCCGGATACGCAGCTTATCTGGGCCTCTGCATTGTGTTTTATCATTTATCTTTTTAAATTTACTTTATGGTCTATTCAAAAGTGTGTTTGCAAATCAAAATCCGAGTTTGTCACTTCTCATCCCACGGCTGACAGACCTATCCACAGGTAATGGGGTAGCCTTTTGGTAATGTTGAAAGTCACAGGTTTGATTCCCTACATGGGAACTATACATGAAGTCCAATGTGCAAGTCCCCAGCTGCAGCCTAAAATCAAACTCACCCATAACCTTCTCTTACAAAAAGTCCTTTCTGTGATGGATGATTATAGTTTATCATTATGGTTCAGGGATGTGCACCATCTGTAATCCATGAAGACGGCTTTAATAGCAATATGTAAACGTGCATGTCTGACAGTACTTGTTTCAAATTGGGAAACCAGAATAAATATGGCTTCTATGTACTAATTACACATGAAATACTTACAATTTCTGAATCATGTTAACACAACGTTCACTCATTGACCATGTAAGAGATTGTTTATTTGTACCCATAGTGTTGAAACAGCCAGTTATGTGAACATGTCATGAATGTATATACTACCCGGACGGACAAACCTGTTTGAAAGAATATATTATTAAGAAAATGGCATTCTTCAAATATAAGTGTTGATTTTATTAATGCAAATAAATGATTTTACACCCAAAATACAAGCATTCTTGATTCTTTTACTAATTAGTGAGTGAGTTTGGTTATACACCACTTTCAGAAATATTTCAGCAATATCACGGTGGGAGACACCAGAAATGGGCAGCACACGTGCCCATGTTGGGAATCGAACCCGGGTCTTCAGCGCGACAATCGAACGCCTTAACCACTAGACTACCCCACCGCCCCTTTTACTAATGAACCTACACAGGTTGATCACAGACAACACTGAGGAAAATGCCAAGAACAGAATATAAATTTGTGTGTAAGAGACTGGACTTTTTCTAAAATACCAGGGTTTTGCCAAAAATACACAAAAATCTAGAGAGCCTACCTACAGCACTAGTCTGTCTCAGTCCCTTAACCGCATTATTTTCCTTTCTGTCCAGCCCTTTCTGCAGTACTACAGCCCCCATCAATATATTTTACGGGTCCTTGCTGGTAATATGAGGGTCCTGTAAAGTAATAAACACTTTGTTGTGTTCTGTACTTTCAGATCATCACTTCAGAGAGTGGTCAGATAATGACTTCAGAGAGTGGTCAGATAATGACTTCAGAGAGTTGTCAGATAATGACTTCAGAGAGTGGTCAGATCATCACTTCAGAGAGTGGTCAGATCATCACTTCAGAGAGTGGTCAGATCATCACTTCAGAGAGTGGTCAGATAATGACTTCAGAGAGTGGTCAGATCATGACTTCAGAGAGTGGTCAGATCATCACTTCAGAGAGTGGTCAGATAATGACTTCAGAGAGTGGTCAGATCATCACTTCAGAGAGTGGTCAGATCATCACTTCAGAGAGTGGTCAGATAATGACTTCAGAGAGTGGTCAGATAATCATCACTTCAGAGAGTGGTCAGATCATCACTTCAGAGAGTGGTCAGATAATGACTTCAGAGAGTGGTCAGATAATGACTTCAGAGAGTGGTCAGATCATCACTTCAGAGAGTGGTCACATAATGACTTCAGAGAGTGGTAGCATAATGACTTCAGAGAGTGGTCAGATAATGACTTCAGAGAGGTCAGATCATCACTTCAGAGAGTGGTCAGATAATGACATCAGAGAGTGGACAGATCATCACTTCAGAGAGTGGTCAGATCATCACTTCAGAGAGTGGTCAGATCATCACTTCAGAGAGTGGTTAGATAATGACTTCAGAGAGTGGAATGAGTCAGTGATCATGTAGACAGTGGTCATGACATGGGTGAAATAACAGACACAGATAACTACTCTTGATGTGCTGTAGTATATCATTTTGATAGAAACAAATATATCCTTTTAAATTGAAAAGGAGCCCCAGTCAGATGGGAGATTCAGAACCTGAGAAAATCCTGACTAGCATCATTTAGGGCTTTAGTATTGCAGAAAGGTCTGGGCAGAAAGGAAAATAATGCGGTTAAGGGACTGAGACAGACTAGCACTGTAGGTAGGTTCTCTGGATTTTTGTGCATTTTTGTCCATTCTCTTCATTTGTGCATCGCAAAAACACCTGAGATACGTAATTTTTCTAACTGGCCCACCCACAAACATTCGTTTTTATATGACAGTCTTCCTTAAATTTTCATAAAGATATCCAACATATTTATCATTGTTTTCATCGATTAGTGGGTTTGGTTTTACGCTGCTTCTAGCAATATTCCAGCAATATCACAGCGGGGAATATAAGAAATGGGCTTCACACATTGTACCCATGTGGGGAATCGAACCCAGGTCTTTGGCATGACAAGCGATTGCTTTAACCACTAGGCTAACCCACCACCCATTTTCATAGATTAATAAAGAGTGCATTTTTTCTACTTTGCTGAATCTTCTGTGATATTGGTACTTTGTTTATTGTTACAATGTTCAGGGAAGTACTAATACACAATGAACTGGATTATGTAAAGTTAGAAACTAAGTATGGTGTTATCAAGCAAATCATCTGTAATAATGTTAAAAACAGTATTCAACCTTATAAATAACATATTTATTTTCAATTGATAAATACATCAATGTGATCATTCATTATGCATCAGACTTATCACAAAGAGTAAACTTGGCAAAAGTGTAAAAATCTTTTTGAGCTCACATCATCCATCCCCAAAGTCAAATGTCTTGAAACAAATGAGTTCCTTCAATCTGGACGGCAGAGGCAAATCATGCACAAGCTGATCCATGTTGTCACCAAGATATCTCCTCAAAAACAAGCATGTGATTTCCCGGAGTGTCCTGGAATTTCTGGCCATATAGAGGAGGGTCTCCGCTATCTTAGTGTCTTTGATTGCTGCAGGCACTGTGTTGTAGTGGAGCCAGTTTTCCCGTGACACCTCATACCCTCCATCGAGCATCATCTGCAGGAGTCGCTCCTCACCCCTTACTGCAGCTAGGTATAGTGGAGTCTGTTTTGCATAGTTCTCAGTGCACATGTCCACATTCTTCTGTATCAGGAACTGGGCAATAGTCGGTTTGTTGTAGTACACTGCCAAATGGAAAGCTGTGAACCCATTGATGTTTTTCTCACCAGAACGAACACCTCTTTTGTAGATCATTTTAACAATATCAATATGGCCACTACTGACAGCAATATGGAAGCAGTTTTCATCGTCATTTGTGGTTTGATGTATGGAACCACTGGCGTCGAGCAAGGTCTCAACAACGTTCTCATAGCCATAACACACTGCGGTATGAAGTGCAGTCCATCCATCTTTGTCTGCACGGTTTACATCAGCACCATTGGCAATTAATAACTTGCAAACATCATCATGTCCTAAGCATGTGGCTGCATGCATTGGCGTGAACCCATCAATCTGGGCAATGTTGACACATGCACCTGCAGAAAGAAGATATTCCACTAGGTCAATGTGACCATACGTTGAAACCCAGTGGAGTGGTGTACGATGATCACTGTCACGGCTATTGATGTCGACACCTCGGCGAACAAGTCTCCTCACAACCTCAAGATGACCTTTTGATGCTGCCATGTGGATCGGTTGTCTAAACCACATATGATCGGATAGGTCTGGTTGAAGGGGGTCACACTTGTACTGCAACAGTAGGTCAACAATGTCCTCAAACCCAGCAGTGGCAGCCTGGCATATTGGGTTCTGTCCATCGTATACAAAGTTGGGGGATGTGTCTTTAGTCCGTAGCCACACTTGCACTGTATCAATGTCATTGTTGTTGATAGCTGTCAGCAGGGTGACCCAGTCTTGACAAACAGCTGTGCTGGTTGATATGACAACAGGTAGGTTGCTTACACTCATTTTGTTTCAGTTCATTAGTCCCATCACAGGTAAACTGCAAGAAACAGAGAGTAATTAGGTCATTAGATATATTGCCTTTCAAGTGTTCAGAGAGCATATTATAAGTGTAACAAATGAAGCAATGGCACTGTGCCCCAGAAGGATGACAATTTTCATTGTCAAGATATTGTAATAAGTGCCTCTTAACTGATACATTGTGTATTTTAAGTAATCATAACGCTCAGAAAAGAGTAGTTCAGCCAGCTAAACGTTTTCCTACCTAGCCGAGAGCTGCGATGTGGGCTTGACTGTATAGGACCGCATCGCGGCTCTCGGCCAGTTTAGCTGGCTGAACTAAAAAAAGTGGGAATAAATAATATCCTCTTGTTATGCGGGTAAGAGTGCTGTACGTACTTGCCCCTACCTAATTTTTAACTATAAACTATAGTGTTTGCTCATCACAAAAATAGGCAGGGGTACGTAAGGAACTCTTTCCCCAGACGGTGACTCTCTGGTCGTTGTGACATAGCTGAAATATCACTGACTGGCGTAAAACAATATGATTCACTCACCCAGTACGGTAGTCCAGCATAAAACAGGTTGGGGAAACCTACCGATCGGCCTATGAAAGGCCGAACGGGATATTATAGGCCATTCTGCCTATTTTGCTATAGGCCGATCAGGCTATATTTGACCATTATTATTAACATTTCACAAACTATCAATTTCCGCATGAAATGGTTTTATTAGATCATAGAGATGAATAGTTAATGGACCTGCTCAGCATGAAAAAAATGAGTTTTTGGACAAAATGGAAATTTGTTCAGGAAAAGATGTTTCATTTAAGAACAGATTTTCATTTTGACAACTAAAACTGAATATCTATGTCATTAATTTTCAGTGAAAATTGTCAAAAATATTCTAGTCTTATATTTAATTAGCAATTTCCAAACTCCTTTATTATGTGATGAAAATGCTCAAAAAGGGTTTGAATGAGAACCTTAGAACATCAAAACTTGAATGATGTTAATATCCTCATGCGGAAATGCACCACTTCAAATTTATTTGATAAATATCATAATTATAGGCCAATCAGCCTATAGCAAAATAGGCGGAACGGCCTATTATATCCCGTTTGGCCTATTATAGGCCGATCGGTAGGTTTCCCCAACCTGTTATATAACTAGACTAAGATAAGACGGTCACCGTCTATTTTTAAAACATAAGTTCCGTGAAAAGTTTGTTTTGCTTTCCTTGAAACAAACGTCTACTTGCGCCATTGCAATATCACTGCATACCTATGTACTAAATGTCAACGCTGTCGTCAGCTGATTCAAGAAAAACAAATTCAATCATAAGTGACGAGGCGGCCATCTTTATCTTCTAAGGGAAGCAAATCGTACATTAAACGGGTTCCAATGTTGGTAGCGCCGCAACTACTAGTTACATAGACGGGAGCCCAGTCGAATCGCATCAAAGAAAAATTCAGTATTTTACATGCGCTTTGAAGATTGTAATCATTCTGCCGTCTGTTCCATTTGATAACCAACGATTTGACATGTTAAACAAAATGCTTAGAGTGACAATAACAGAAAAATAACATACATAACAAATAGATATAATTTTGGATGATATCCACTCTCCCAATGTTTGGCAGTCCTGAGACGGTTGTAAAATTAAAGCGATTTAAACTAATAAGATTAATTATTGAGAGTAGGACAACTAAAAAGTGTTTATTATCAATGAAATAATACTTCAAAAACATAATTCTTCAAAAATGTAAATGGAAGGTGAAACAGGGATTGTCCTGATATGAAAACATTGTCTGCAAATTGAGTGGGACAGATCTACTGTAAATGAACGAAACAGCTAGGTCAATATTGTCGGTATATAAGTGAATAAACTGTAAATTAGTCTGTAAATGAGCTAAACAAACCAAATAGAATTAGTGAAACGGACTAAATGTTAATTATAGACGCGAACTGAATTTATATAACAGAAATTAAACAGATTGTCTGTAATTGATTAACACTCATTCTCAATAGATCGTTGCATTACTGTCGCCGACAATTTTCTTTTAAATTTATGGCTATGAACTTGTTATCGTATGTTTTATAAAAGCACAACAACTTCATGATTCCATGCAACATAAGTTAGATTTTCCTTGTTGTCTTCAAACTTTTCATATTTGCTTTTAATGCCCAATTTTGTAATGTACGTTACTGTCGCCAGGCAACATTGAACGCTTTTGCAGATTTCTAAAATCGTGTTCACATTAATAACTCATATGATTGAGGTGAATACATTTTCCCTAATATATAAAGATTCATTTATATTCATGGGGGGCTCCAGTGAAAGCTGATATTTCATTTTATTACACTCCATACCTGTGTCGCTTGGTTTTTCATAAAACAACTAAACATATATGAATAAGGAAAATGCTCTCATTTGAATGACAAAAAATACTGTTAAATGTTGTTATAATATTGCCTTGTGAATGATAAAACCGTAAATAAGACCATTATATAGCAAAACATCACCGTAATGAAAATATTGGACATCAAAAGTGAAAATCTTAAGGGATAAGAATGCAATGTACGTTACCTACACATACCAGGAAAAAACAGGAAAACAAAGTGGTTTCAATGTGTTTCAGAATGTAAGAAAGTCATGAACAGTGTAAATTTGAATAAAATGGCATCTGTAAGTTTGTGTTTTGTTACTTATTCTGAATATTCGTAATGAACGTTACTGTAATGTACGTTACTGATAAATACGAAACTGCGGAGAAACACGGATTTATGCTGTAACAGCTTTGCTTCTGACATGTGATCAGACGACGCCATTTTCTCACGTCACGTTGGCGTCGAAAGAAGGTTGAAAGATCAACATTATGAAGTTGCAAGCACTCCAAGTAAGTTTGAATTGTGGTGTATTTTGTGGGAGTTAAAGAATAGTAACATATATCCACATTTTAACGAACGTGAACGTTTTTGATACATAACAGACGGGTAAATATACGTAAATATATGAAAGTTGTCATTTGTTAACAAACACTCCATGTTCAATTGCTAACTACAGGGAAATGTACGTTACCGATGGTAACCAAAAAATCTTATCAGCTAAAACATCATGAAATGGAATAATTTTCTTGATTGTTAAGCAAATTACTCATAGTGATGTTGACGGTTAAAAGCATGTTTTGTGTTGAAATCATGTTTGTCAAAAATGTTTGAATTTACTGATGAATTGTGATGAATGAAAAGTGCTCTAGAAAACAAATGCTCAGAATTATTAATGTAGGTTGTTAAAGTGATAAGATGTGATTAAAACGACAATGGTTATAGTAATTTCGGAATTGTAATTCACGGCAAGTATATTTTTAATAAGAATTAGCTCCACTATTGTGTAATTATGTTCTACCTTAAACGCAATTTCTGTATTTTAAATGTAATGGCGTGGAACATGCTGATTGTAAGTGTCTGACATGAGTGCTCATTCTTTCTATACCACCTGAAATCTTCCAGTCTGCTTCGACTACCCACGCGCAGTTGATATTCATGTCTACGGTCAGCTGTACCGCACTACCTTTAAAAGACGTATTCCCAGACCACACTAGATTGACATATGTACATTTGAAGTCTTCCATTAACGCACCACCTTGAGCTGTGCATGTCGATATTCATTAAGAAATCAAGGTTAAAGATCACGATGTTTTTGTTTTACATCAGTGCAACCATTATTTCACTGGGAAATTCCTATCTTGATCGATCACTACTGGGGGCGGTGGGGTATTGTTAAAGCTGGTTTTCGAATCAGGGTACCACCGTTGCATGTTGCAAGAATACTAAAAGCGGCGTAAAACCAAACTACGGCGTCAGTCAGGCAAATAATAGCTGCGAGTTTTTTCATTCTTTTGCCATCTTTAGGCTTGTGAATTTGTGAATGATGGGTGCTACCGGTAGGGTAGACATACTTAACCGTTTAAAACACCTGGTGTTATCGCGGATTTTCAGTGATCCATTCAAATACTTTTCACAGCTGTTTTCCTTTGACACCAAACGTAATTTGTTTCTGTGGACAGAGTCCGACAGACTGTGTATTCTTTCGCACAAACCCTACCACTGATGAATATTACTACACTAAGTCCACGGCAGATTTGAGGGCTCCTACAGACGTCCTGTATGTTACATCATGATCCGTTGTTATTTATTTCCAACTCGTCTATATTTTCAAGACAAAGATATATAGTTGCCCTCTTCAAACAATACTTTAGTTATTTGAGCCTTCCAATTTAGATAAGTCACCTATTTCAAACTAGGTGAGGTGAGGTGAAATTGGGTTTAACGTCGTACTTGAGAATATTTCGCTCATATGACGACGTGCATATGCGTTTATGTGTATGTGCGGCTGTTTGTACTAGCCCAGACTGAAGCTGGTTTAATAGTGATAGCCCACTGAGATACCATGCCGCAGTGAAGCATGAATACCCCACTCAGACACATTATACTGACTCCGAGCCGACCAGTCCTTGTTGTACCCATTAATGCAGAGCGCCAGGCAGGGACCAACAAGTACCATATGTAACGTCTTTTGGTATGACGCGGTCGGGGATCGAACCCGCGACCTTCCGCACTCCGGGCGGACGCTTTAACCACTACACCAAGGAGGCGGTCCTATTTCAAACTAAACCTTGGACACGTTTAGTCGCTATAGCGAGTGAGTGAGTTTAGTTTTACGCCGCACCCAGCAATATTCCAGCTATATGGCGTCGATCTGTAAATAATCCACTCTGAACCAGACAATCCAGTTTTCAACAGCATGTGCATCGATTGGGAACCGATGACATGTGTCAACCAAGTCAGCGAGCCTGACCACCCGATCCCGTTAGTCGCCTCTTACGACAAGCATGGGTTACTAAAGATCAATTCTAACCAGGATCTTCACGGGTTTTTAGTAGCTATAAGTGACTGCGTACGTGTGCGTACGTGCGTCTGGTGTAGCGCACAGCGTGGTAGAGCGGTGGGATTGCAGGAAACACGTCATCTATTCCCTCTATAAAAGACAGGTGTTTATGTTCTCAGTATGAATATAGGCAGGTATGCCAATATCTGTCAGTCTTCACGTCAACTGACTTTTCACAGGAGGCTTTCATTGCGCTTATGTATTTGTAGTATATATTAAAATCTAAAAATATTATTTATTATTGTTGGGTTCGACTTAAGCACAGTTCATGTTCCAGAGAAGTGTAATCATTGCTCCCCACGTACACTACTTTCCATCCCAACACAGAAGACCGTATTTCCTCCTATGTAACGTTAACGAACATGTTACTCGCCGCCTGGCGAAGAGTATCTTTAACGGGTCGCTACGTCACGCTAAGACTGGCTGACTGACTGAGTTTAGTTTTACGCCGGCTTTAGCAATATTCCAGCAACATCACGGCGGGGGACACCAGAAATGGGCTTCACACATTGTACCCATGTGGGGATTCGAACCCGGGTCTTCGGCGTGACGAGCGAACGCTTTAACCACTAGACTACCCCAGCGCCCACGTCACGCTAAGAACAGTTCGGCCATCTCTTTTACGATTTTTGTTTTACATCTCCTGCCAATACCAGTTAGTTATTTCTGAAATACGTACCGAGTGCTTGCAGTTGTTCGTGCTATTTAAGTCTATTCTGTATTCCATGCCTCTAAAACGGAACCGTTTGCACAAAGGAAAAGAAAACATAGATACATTCATATATACAACTGAAAGCCACAGAATACACACACGCTTCA